GATGTCTCAAAAGGGTTCTCCAGATTCGAGTGACGTTCTTCTACGAAGACAGTTAATCGATTTGGTGTGAATCGTTTCATCCTCAACTTATCCAAACCGACCAATCCAATGTTTTCTCGATTGGATGCATCTCCTTAGGACTCCCCCTCTATTCCCCTGATGTCTTCCAACCCCTTCTCGCTTCCCCCTAATTCAAGCAAAGAGCGTATATATATGTGCTCAACATTTAATTGGTGCTAATGGTTAATGCGGAGCAACTCTCCATATCAGAATCTGCTTCATTTGTATTGTGCAACCGTACTCTCTCTGACCATTCCACTTACGTCATTGTGCATGTGTGGCTGGTTGCATGTGTGGCTGGTTGCATGTGTGGCTGGTTGCATGTGTGGCTGGTTGCATGTGTGGCTGGTTGCAGAGTCGCTGCGCACAACAGCATCAATGGCAGCATACCAGAGTCTATCGGCAGCACCATCCACCTTGAAATCCTGTAAAACCATCAACCCTCAAGTTTTGTGACCCATCAACCTTTTAGTTACCCATCAACCTTTGAGTTTTGTAAACCTACAAACTTAAAGCCTCATAATTTCTCTGACCCCTTCATGCTGGGCTTGTGGCATGGCCATCACATGTCCTCATGCCATCACATGCCATCACATGTCCTCATGCCATCAGATTTGCTCGTGCCATCACATGTCCTCATGCCATCACATGTCCTCATGCCTTCACATGCCATGCCTTCACAGCGCTCATGCCATCACATGACATCCCTTCACATGCGCTCGTGCCATCACATGCACTCATGCCACCATGTTCAGTCATGCCAGTCATGCTTATCATCCAGCCCGCAACTCATTGCACCCTATCCCTCATTGCACCCTATCCCTCACTGCACCCTATCCCTCACTGCACCCTATCCCTCACTGCACCCTATCCCTCACTGCACCCTATCCCTCACTGCACCCTATCCCTCACTGCACCCTATCCCTCACTGCACCCTATCCCTCACTGCACCCTATCCCTCACTGCACCCTATCCCTCATTGCACCCTATCCCTCACTGCACCCTATCCCTCATTGCACCCTATCCCTCACTGCACCCTATCCCTCATTGCACCCTATCCCTCACTGCACCCTATCCCTCATTGCACCCTATCCCTCACTGCACCCTATCCCTCATTGCACCCTATCCCTCACTGCACCCTATCCCTCATTGCACCATATCCCTCACTGCACCCTATCCCTCACTGCACCCTATCCCTCATTGCACCCTATCCCTCATTGCACCCTATCCCTCACTGCACCCTATCCCTCACTGCACCCTATCCCTCACTGCACCCTATCCCTCACTGCACCCTATCCCTCATTGCACCCTATCCCTCACTGCACCCTATCCCTCATTGCACCCTATCCCTCACTGCACCCTATCCCTCATTGCACCCTATCCCTCACTGCACCCTATCCCTCATTGCACCCTATCCCTCACTGCACCCTATCCCTCATTGCACCATATCCCTCACTGCACCCTATCCCTCACTGCACCCTATCCCTCATTGCACCCTATCCCTCATTGCACCCTATCCCTCACTGCACCCTATCCCTCACTGCACCCTATCCCTCACTGCACCCTATCCCTCACTGCACCCTATCCCTCATTGCACCCTATCCCTCACTGCACCCTATCCCTCATTGCACCCTATCCCTCACTGCACCCTATCCCTCATTGCACCCTATCCCTCACTGCACCCTATCCCTCATTGCACCCTATCCCTCACTGCACCCTATCCCTCATTGCACCCTATCCCTCACTGCACCCTATCCCTCATTGCACCATATCCCTCACTGCACCCTATCCCTCACTGCACCCTATCCCTCATTGCACCCTATCCCTCATTGCACCCTATCCCTCACTGCACCCTATCCCTCACTGCACCCTATCCCTCACTGCACCCTATCCCTCACTGCACCCTATCCCTCATTGCACCCTATCCCTCACTGCACCCTATCCCTCACTGCACCCTATCCCTCATTGCACCCTATCCCTCATTGCACCCTATCCCTCACTGCACCCTATCCCTCACTGCACCCTATCCCTCACTGCACCCTATCCCTCATTGCACCCTATCCCTCACTGCACCCTATCCCTCATTGCACCCTATCCCTCACTGCACCCTATCCCTCATTGCACCCTATCCCTCACTGCACCCTATCCCTCATTGCACCCTATCCCTCACTGCACCCTATCCCTCATTGCACCCTATCCCTCACTGCACCCTATCCCTCATTGCACCATATCCCTCACTGCACCCTATCCCTCACTGCACCCTATCCCTCATTGCACCCTATCCCTCATTGCACCCTATCCCTCACTGCACCCTATCCCTCACTGCACCCTATCCCTCACTGCACCCTATCCCTCACTGCACCCTATCCCTCATTGCACCCTATCCCTCACTGCACCCTATCCCTCATTGCACCCTATCCCTCACTGCACCCTATCCCTCATTGCACCCTATCCCTCACTGCACCCTATCCCTCATTGCACCCTATCCCTCACTGCACCCTATCCCTCATTGCACCCTATCCCTCACTGCACCCTATCCCTCATTGCACCATATCCCTCACTGCACCCTATCCCTCACTGCACCCTATCCCTCATTGCACCCTATCCCTCATTGCACCCTATCCCTCACTGCACCCTATCCCTCACTGCACCCTATCCCTCACTGCACCCTATCCCTCACTGCACCCTATCCCTCATTGCACCCTATCCCTCACTGCACCCTATCCCTCATTGCACCCTATCCCTCACTGCACCCTATCCCTCATTGCACCCTATCCCTCACTGCACCCTATCCCTCATTGCACCCTATCCCTCACTGCACCCTATCCCTCATTGCACCATATCCCTCACTGCACCCTATCCCTCACTGCACCCTATCCCTCATTGCACCCTATCCCTCATTGCACCCTATCCCTCACTGCACCCTATCCCTCACTGCACCCTATCCCTCACTGCACCCTATCCCTCACTGCACCCTATCCCTCATTGCACCCTATCCCTCACTGCACCCTATCCCTCATTGCACCCTATCCCTCACTGCACCCTATCCCTCATTGCACCCTATCCCTCACTGCACCCTATCCCTCATTGCACCCTATCCCTCACTGCACCCTATCCCTCATTGCACCCTATCCCTCACTGCACCCTATCCCTCATTGCACCATATCCCTCACTGCACCCTATCCCTCACTGCACCCTATCCCTCATTGCACCCTATCCCTCATTGCACCCTATCCCTCACTGCACCCTATCCCTCACTGCACCCTATCCCTCACTGCACCCTATCCCTCACTGCACCCTATCCCTCATTGCACCCTATCCCTCACTGCACCCTATCCCTCATTGCACCCTATCCCTCACTGCACCCTATCCCTCATTGCACCCTATCCCTCACTGCACCCTATCCCTCATTGCACCCTATCCCTCACTGCACCCTATCCCTCATTGCACCCTATCCCTCACTGCACCCTATCCCTCATTGCACCATATCCCTCACTGCACCCTATCCCTCACTGCACCCTATCCCTCATTGCACCCTATCCCTCATTGCACCCTATCCCTCACTGCACCCTATCCCTCACTGCACCCTATCCCTCACTGCACCCTATCCCTCACTGCACCCTATCCCTCATTGCACCCTATCCCTCACTGCACCCTATCCCTCATTGCACCCTATCCCTCACTGCACCCTATCCCTCATTGCACCCTATCCCTCACTGCACCCTATCCCTCATTGCACCCTATCCCTCACTGCACCCTATCCCTCATTGCACCATATCCCTCACTGCACCCTATCCCTCACTGCACCCTATCCCTCATTGCACCCTATCCCTCATTGCACCCTATCCCTCACTGCACCCTATCCCTCACTGCACCCTATCCCTCACTGCACCCTATCCCTCACTGCACCCTATCCCTCATTGCACCCTATCCCTCACTGCACCCTATCCCTCATTGCACCCTATCCCTCACTGCACCCTATCCCTCATTGCACCCTATCCCTCACTGCACCCTATCCCTCATTGCACCCTATCCCTCACTGCACCCTATCCCTCATTGCACCCTATCCCTCACTGCACCCTATCCCTCATTGCACCATATCCCTCACTGCACCCTATCCCTCACTGCACCCTATCCCTCATTGCACCCTATCCCTCATTGCACCCTATCCCTCACTGCACCCTATCCCTCACTGCACCCTATCCCTCACTGCACCCTATCCCTCACTGCACCCTATCCCTCATTGCACCCTATCCCTCACTGCACCCTATCCCTCATTGCACCCTATCCCTCACTGCACCCTATCCCTCATTGCACCCTATCCCTCACTGCACCCTATCCCTCATTGCACCCTATCCCTCACTGCACCCTATCCCTCATTGCACCCTATCCCTCACTGCACCCTATCCCTCATTGCACCCTATCCCTCACTGCACCCTATCCCTCATTGCACCCTATCCCTCACTGCACCCTATCCCTCATTGCACCCTATCCCTCACTGCACCCTATCCCTCATTGCACCATATCCCTCACTGCACCCTATCCCTCACTGCACCCTATCCCTCATTGCACCCTATCCCTCATTGCACCATATCCCTCACTGCACCCTATCCCTCACTGCACCCTATCCCTCATTGCACCCTATCCCTCATTGCACCCTATCCCTCACTGCACCCTATCCCTCACTGCACCCTATCCCTCACTGCACCCTATCCCTCACTGCACCCTATCCCTCATTGCACCCTATCCCTCACTGCACCCTATCCCTCATTGCACCCTATCCCTCACTGCACCCTATCCCTCATTGCACCCTATCCCTCACTGCACCCTATCCCTCACTGCACCCTATCCCTCACTGCACCCTATCCCTCACTGCACCCTATCCCTCATTGCACCCTATCCCTCACTGCACCCTATCCCTCATTGCACCCTATCCCTCACTGCACCCTATCCCTCATTGCACCCTATCCCTCACTGCACCCTATCCCTCATTGCACCCTATCCCTCACTGCACCCTATCCCTCATTGCACCCTATCCCTCACTGCACCCTATCCCTCATTGCACCATATCCCTCACTGCACCCTATCCCTCACTGCACCCTATCCCTCATTGCACCCTATCCCTCATTGCACCCTATCCCTCACTGCACCCTATCCCTCACTGCACCCTATCCCTCACTGCACCCTATCCCTCACTGCACCCTATCCCTCATTGCACCCTATCCCTCACTGCACCCTATCCCTCATTGCACCCTATCCCTCACTGCACCCTATCCCTCATTGCACCCTATCCCTCACTGCACCCTATCCCTCATTGCACCCTATCCCTCACTGCACCCTATCCCTCATTGCACCCTATCCCTCACTGCACCCTATCCCTCATTGCACCATATCCCTCACTGCACCCTATCCCTCACTGCACCCTATCCCTCATTGCACCCTATCCCTCATTGCACCCTATCCCTCACTGCACCCTATCCCTCACTGCACCCTATCCCTCACTGCACCCTATCCCTCACTGCACCCTATCCCTCATTGCACCCTATCCCTCACTGCACCCTATCCCTCATTGCACCCTATCCCTCACTGCACCCTATCCCTCATTGCACCCTATCCCTCACTGCACCCTATCCCTCATTGCACCATATCCCTCACTGCACCCTATCCCTCACTGCACCCTATCCCTCATTGCACCCTATCCCTCATTGCACCCTATCCCTCACTGCACCCTATCCCTCACTGCACCCTATCCCTCACTGCACCCTATCCCTCACTGCACCCTATCCCTCATTGCACCCTATCCCTCACTGCACCCTATCCCTCATTGCACCCTATCCCTCACTGCACCCTATCCCTCATTGCACCCTATCCCTCACTGCACCCTATCCCTCATTGCACCATATCCCTCACTGCACCCTATCCCTCACTGCACCCTATCCCTCATTGCACCCTATCCCTCATTGCACCCTATCCCTCACTGCACCCTATCCCTCACTGCACCCTATCCCTCACTGCACCCTATCCCTCACTGCACCCTATCCCTCACTGCACCCTATCCCTCACTGCACCCTATCCCTCGCTGCACCTTTGAAATGCGAGATTTCTGTGACCCCACATGATGTGAATATAACGACTATGGCTCTATAACCAGGGCCGGCTCGGTTTTGCAGAGGGCCCGGATAGGTTAGAGAGGCGGGCCAAGCCAGGTTCAACCCGTGCTCATGCCTGCCCTATATGCACCAAATCCGTCGTGCCACAGCTCTCACTCACACACCCCTATCCTCCCTTCTGTATCGGCTCCACGTGCACCCCTGTAACCCTGGCCCTCACTGCACGCAACAGATCCATATGGAAGAACAACCTGTCAGGCAGCTTTTGAGTCGCCCCTGTGAACCCCTATCCACTCCTGTGCACCCCTGTAACCCTGGCCCTCACTGCACGCAACAGATCCATATGGAAGAACAACCTGTCAGGCAGCATCCCCGAGTCCATTGGCAGTCTCACCAAGCTCAGCAGCCTGTCAGTGCCCTCCATTGTCAAACCCTTACCTCTGGCTTGAGATTTCCCTAAAAAATCATTCCACATGAGATGAGACAGGCGTGTCAGTGTCTCACCACGCTCAGCAACCTGTCAGTGACTCACCACGGGCTGCCCTTGCACCTCATGCTGCTTTTGGATGGGCCCCCGGCCCTTGCGCCTCATGCTGGTGCATTTCAAGAGAGTATCTGCTGTGTCATGTCAGTCCACCAGCAGCCAGCAGCCTCAACAAACTCAGCAGCCTCACCAAGCTCAGCAGCCTCACCAATCTCAGCAGCCTCACCAAGCTCAGCAGCCTCACCAATCTCAGCAGCCTCACCAAGCTCAGCAGCCTCACCAATCTCAGCAGCTTCACCAATCTCAGCAGCCTCACCAATCTCAGCAGCCTCACCAAGCTCAGCAGCCTCACCAAGCTCAGCAGCCTCACCAATCTCAGCAGCCTGACCAATCTCAGCAGCCTCACCAATCTCAGCAGCCTCACCAATCTCAGCAGCCTCACCAATCTCAGCAGCCTCACCAAGCTCAGCAGCCTCACCAATCTCAGCAGCCTCACCAGTCTCAGCAGCCTCACCAATCTCAGCAGCCTCACCAATCTCAGCAGCCTCACCAATCTCAGCAGCCTCACCAATCTCAGCAGCCTCACCAATCTCAGCAGCCTCACCAATCTCAGCAGCCTCACCAATCTCAGCAGCCTGTCGCTGTCCTTCCTTGTGAACTCCCCAACATGGGATGGTTACATAAAGCAGGTGTGTTTTGAGTCGACTCAAAACACATTATTAAAAACCTATCACATGAGAGAAAATACACGCATGAGCAATAAGTCGAAAGTAAAACGTTTGTTTGTTTGTTTGTTGTTTTTGTTTTTTTTTTTTGGCTCCCACAGAGTTTGGGTGTATCTGCCTAGCATTTTCTAGGGAAATGTGTGCTTTAAGGCAGGGATCACTCTAGCCAAGTATGGATGTATTGAAAAATCTCGTCACACCGAACCTTGACCAGTTTGAGCGTCTGGTTCGGTTCGAACCGACGCCTATGGTCAAACCTTGAACCTCAAACTAGTTCGAGCTCAAAAGCCCCAAACCAACAGGTCCGGTTCGGTAATTTGCTTGTGCCTCGAACCTGAAACCAGTTAAGTAACTCCAATGCCACCCTTTCGCCTCGGGCTGGCCTTTTGGCTGATGCAGGGAGGAGAGAGGGGCGGCATTACACTTCAAAGGAGTATATTCTTTCCGTTTAGCTGCCTCAATATTCGTTTCTCTTTTCGTAATAGTACTGTTATGATAAGCACATGCTTTCTCCCAGAGCCTCCTTTTTCAGCTCATGCTCCTGTTTCACGAGACGAAAGTAGCTTCTGTGCAGGGTGCCAACTTTCCTCCACTTGTGTAGGAACGAACAGTCAATGATGTGACTGACAAGGCTGATCAGTGTGTTGTAGGGATTCTGTAGGTCGATTTTGAAAATCATGTGGCTGAGAAGGCTGATGCGGGTGTGGTGTGGCAGGGACTTATCAGACAACCAGTTTGAAGGAACTGTCCCTGAGGGGACTCTTGAGTCGACTCAAAAGCCTCCACTGGTGTAGGAACGGGCGGTGATTAATGATGCTACTGACTGGGCTGACGCGTGTGTTGCAGGGACTTGTCAGACAACCAGTTTGAGGGAACTGTTCCCGAGGGCATCGGCAACATGAAGTACATTCGGAAACTGTGAGATTGTTTAAAAATCCTCTCGTATTTCCCACCTCCGATCTTCTTCTTACCCTCAGTGTTTAGGGTTCATTGCAATCGTACCTCCACCACGACATGCCATGCCATCACCATGTGCCCTACATGCCATGCCATCACCATGTGCCCTACACTATGTTGCAGAAGACGCGTCTAGCGTCTTAGACGGTTGCGTCTAGACGCAGCGTCTAAGACGCTAGACGCATTTCAGGCCAGATTAGACGCAGGATTAGACGAAAGCCCGGGCAGGCCAAAAAAAAGTTCGGGCAGCCTAAAAAAACTTCTGTGGGGCATGGGGAGGGTGGGGGACATGCACATATGTCACAATTGGGTCAAATTTTCGCCGTACCATAACCTTTTCTGCATACTTAGAGTTTCCCGAGGGAACTAGCAAAACCCTAAAGGGGTTTTGAAAGAGAATTTGGTAGAAATGAAAGATGGAGAGCACAAATGGGGGATTTGTGCTCCCCAACCTCTTGGTGGTTTGCCAGAGGTTGGGTTTTCTAGATACTAAGCGGTGCAGTGAGGTTTGTGTGCAATTTTGGTTGGGGGGGTATCAAATTTGCTTGGGGGGCTGGTTTCTATGGTCGAAATGGGTGGGAGGGGGTGCAAATGTCGCGAAATTGAATTTCGCTTCGAAATCGTGAAATTCAATTTCGCGCGCGCGAATTTTTTTTTTTTCGGGCTGACCGAAAAAATTCGGCCCAAGCGTCTAGCGTCTAAAGGTGCGTCTTGCGTCTTCCGCAACATAGGCCCTACATGCCATGCCATCACTGTGTGCTGCACCCCATGTAATGCGATTCTCTCGATCATACCTTATTATTAGCCAAAGCATCACTGGAGAAACCCCATCACTGTGTGCACTGTCTGACACTGTGATGCATGGGCTCGCTGGGACCTGTCTGACAACCACCTGCTTTTTTTAGTCGACTAGAAAATTGAGAAGCGCCATCACTGACGGTTTTGAAGTCGACTAAAAAATTGAGAAATGGCATCACTGTGTGCTGTCTGTGACTGCACTGCATGAGCTCACAGGAATCTTTCCAACAACCACTTGAATGGCACTCCATGCCTGCAGTTCTGTCGGTTGTGCCTTCTTATCATAGGAGAAATGCCCATCACTGTGTGAGCTGTCTGTGACTGTGCTGCATGAGCTCACAGGGATCTCTCCAACAACCACTTGACCGGCTCTCTCCCCACCACCCTCTCTCGCCTCTCTCTCCTGCAACAGTTGTGAGTCATCACATGACACACGAGGCAGCAGGGGCACATGGTTGCATGGGGACATGGACGCTTGGATGCACGCACGGGAACATGGATGCATGGGTGCATGTGCATGCATGGGTAGGCAACAATAGTCCACATGCTCATCAGCTTACCTGCCTGTTCTCTCTGTCCGTCTAGAGTTTACAGATGCATGAGCGGCATCACCCTGCGCTTCCACACGTTCCTCTTGAAGCGCCTTAAGTGCTTCACCCGGCTCTTCCATTCCACAGGTTCCTCAGCCGCAACAACCTGTGACGACTTTTGAGACGCCTCAAAAGTTCTCCAAGTGCTCCACTGTGCTCGGCTCTTCCATTCCACAGGTTCCTCAACCGCAACAACCTGAATGGCTCATTTCCTCTCTGGATTACACAGATGTCCAACGTTGCATGGCTGTGAGTGCACTGCAGAGACTGTGATTGGTTACCCAGTGTACGGCTGTGACTATTTCCGATCAGCGGCTGCGCCGTTGACACGCGCACTACCCCCTTCATTTCTCAAGGAGCCATGCTGTCTGAGAAGCGCTGGGTGGGTGGAGCAACACACGCACGTCATTCACTATACCAGGCCTGTCCATTGCAATGCCACTGTGGCCTCTGCTGTTCTTCTGCAAACCTATGCGTTCGCTGCAATCTCGAATGAAACATACCTACATTTCGAACTATGAAGCTGTGAGTGTGATGTGATGCTCTTCATTCTGCTTTCCAACCCCCCTTTTCTCCCAAACCCCTCCTTGAAACGGCCTCGGGGTTGTGTCGCGTTATTAACACCTAGCTGACGGCAAGGTGTGAATTACACAGCAGCGAGGTAATTTCGAATTTCTTGCTTTGTACTCTAATTTCGTTTGTGTGCTTGGTGTGCACTGTACATACGCTTTACAGAGAAGAGTGCTGGGAGAACCGAGGAGGTTGGTGCTGAAGGGCGAATTCGATTCCAGCTGGGAATTCGATTTCTAGTTGGAAAGGCAGTTCCAGCTGGGAATTCGATTCCAGGCAAGGAATTCGATTCCAGCTGGAAGGCAGTGCATGCCTAGTGGGCCTAGTGGGTCCCAGCTAGCACCTCAGAGCCATCAAGAGCAGCTCGGCTGACTCTCGCTTGGCACCAAGAGCTAGCGTGTGGAGGAAGGAACCTAGGCAGGCGGAGGAATGAATGTAAGCAGGGATAGCACTCTGGTTTCTTGCTTTTTGCTTGTTTGCAACAAGACTGATGGCAGGCAAGCAGGGAGAGTAAACCGAGAGGATGAGAGTGAGAGAAGAGGCCGATCGCACCTATCAGGGAGGGACAGGCAATGTAAGAGGGAGGCAGAGAAGAGAGTTTGAAGAAGCAGGCAGAAGGGAGATACTTCACGACAGTTGTCTTTGGGGATATGTGGGCGATGGGCCACCCAAAAAGCTCATTGTCGTGTTAATCTTTTGTTGTTTACCGGATTAGGTTTCTGTATCCCTCTTGTCATCGCTGTCGCATGTGTGCCTGCACATCTGCCCATCCGCACGTGCCGTTCAGCACATTCATTCATGCCAATCCGTCCATTGTCTCGGATGTCATGCTAACTGTGGTTACCCATCCATTGTATTGCAGATACCTCAGTGACAACAATCTCTCAGGCCCCCTACCTGCTGCTCTTGGTGGATCTAAAGGCCTCGTCTTTCTGTGAGTGACCTGCTGTGCTGAGTGCTGTGATGTGGAGTGTGCTGTGATGTGGAGTGTGCTCTGATGTGGAGTGTGCTCTGATGTGGAGTGTGCTCCGAGGTGGAGTGTGCTTTGATGTGGAGTGTGCTGTGATGTGGAGTGTGCTCCGATGTGGAGTGTGCTCTGATGTGGAGTGTGCTCCGATGTGGAGTGTGCTCTGATGTGGAGTGTGCTCCGATGTGGAGTGTGCTCTGATGTGGAGTGTGCTCTGATGTGGAGTGTGCTCTGATGTGGAGTGTGCTCTGATGTGGAGTGTGCTCCGATGTGGAGTGTGCTCTGATGTGGAGTGTGCTCTGATGTGGAGTGTGCTCTGATGTGGAGTGTGCTCTGATGTGGAGTGTGCTCTGATGTGGAGTGTGCTCTGATGTGGAGTGTGCTCTGATGTGGAGTGTGCTCTGATGTGGAGCGTGCTCTGATGTGGAGTGTGCTCTGATGTGGAGTGTGCTCTGCTGTATTTCACGTGATTTTCTTCACATAAGAGACAACATCATATTCACCGTCCCTTTCCTGTTCTCTCATCATGCCTTGGCACTCCCCTTCTGTTTCATCCCTCCATTCACCACCCCCCTTCCACCCCACAGCGAAACGTCAGGTTCGGGCCTCACGTGCCCACCAGATGCTTCCAGCTGTGTGGTTCGGCAGATCAACTACAGTGCCTTCTGCCAGGACTGCCAAGAATTCTGTGCCACGTGCACCAGTGATCAATGTGAGCTTCTTGGTTGGGGCGTTGCAGTTTTTTTTTTTTATAATATATTTTTGAAGCGCCTCAGAACTAGACTCCTGCACCACATGCAGTGATGAAAGTGAGCTTCTCGGCTCGGGTCGGGGCGTTGCAGTTTCTGAGGGATCTCAAAGTCTGCTATAGCTGCACGAGCTTTTGTGGCACAACATGTACAGGTGAAGCGCCTTATGAGGCGCCTGAAAATAGACACCTGTGCCACATGACACATGTGTACAAGAGATGAAGATGAGCTGATAATGGCACTGAGGCGACTCTTGAGTGGACCCAAAGGGCGTGTATCCTACGAGTGCAAGAGCTACTGTGCCACGTGTGCATTGATGGATGAAGGTGAGGTGCTTGGAGAATTGCCAGTCAGAAAAGTAGGCTCTGCCAATCACGGATCAGTCTTTTTAGTCAACACAAAGTCATGCCAGTCAATTAGGCATGGGCAAAATACCCGGACGGGTCGGGTTACCCGACCCGACCCGACATTTTTGTCGGGTCGGGTCCTTATATTGGGATTGACTACCCGGGCGGGTCGGGTAGTGTATACTCGGGCGGGTACAAAATACCCGATACCCGACCCGGGTGTCCAAATTCGGGTATTGAATACCCGTCAATGTAGTCCAGAACAAACTTTTTTTTTGCTTCCAATGAATAAAACTATGAAAAGGGTATTCGGGTATACCCGACCCGACCTCGGGTATACCCGACCCGACCGCGGGTCAGACATACCCGAGAGGTACTGGGCGGGTCGGGTCAACATCCTTGGCCCAAATACCCGGGGTCGGGTATACCCGACCCGACCCGTACCTGACCTCGGGTCGACCTAAACGGGTCGGGTCGGGTCGGGTCGGGTCGGGTCGGGTCGGGCCAATGCCCATGCCTACAGTCAATGGCCCAAGGCAGCATCAGTCATTGCCCAAGGTAATGGGCCAACCTAGGCTAAGTCCCACTGATTAATGTTAAGTCATGACAACCATCGTTAAGTCATGCTAGTCAATGCGAAGTCATAGCAGTCAACGTTAAGTCACGAGTCAATGCGAATTGAGCTGGGCAACGCCGAGTTGAGCCTGTTATTTCATCGCGGCTGCATGCATGCAGGGGAGGAACACTATCTTGACCACCTGTGTTGACTTTTGAGTGGACTCAAAAGTCAACTGCTTGCATGCAGAGCAGGAACACAATCTTGAACCCTCCAGTCGAACACAATCTTGAACCCTCCAATTGAACACAATCTTGACGACCTGTGCTTTGGTACTACCCCACTATTCATGATTCCCCTGCTTCACCACCACTTGTGATTCTGGTGGTGCTTCAATGCGTGTCCTTCTGGTGTGTCGGTGCGGTGTGTGTGTCCCTCCAAAGCAGCCCCATCCCCATCACGAATCGTGGCCTCCCCTCCACCATCCCCATCACCAAATCAAACCGTCAACAACTCCTCCAACTCCTCACTCTCCTCCCCCTCACTCACTTCCCCTTCTGGCCTGTCCGTGGGAGCTGTTATTGGCATTGTGACCGCAGCCGTTCTGCTCGTGCCTCTCCTGCTTGCATCAGTTTGGTGCCTTGCCACCCACTTCAAGATTTCCACAAAAGGTAGGTGTGTTATGCGTTTGCCTTTTGTCCTGCATGGAAGCACATGTGTGTGAGAAGAACCACCTCACTTTCTGTCTCGCTTCACCAACAAGCTCCATGTCTTCGTCTAACGTAAATAGCAAAGCCGCTGTGTTCTCAGATGTGTTACTTCTCACAAAGCCCCCCCCCCACCTTTCTCCCACAAAAAAAAAAAACAAACAAACAAAAAAACAAAACAAGAAGTAAATCCGTGCCGTTTACCATACCACACTTCCTACAGAATCCCCCGGGCCCCGTTTAGGGAACACAACGACACCGTGCCGGCGGTACTCGCTGGCCGTGGTGGCTCGTGCAACCAACAGCTGGTCCAAGGAGTGCCTGCTTGGGTCGGGGTCGTATGGAGACGTGTACCGCGGGGTGTGCCCCGAGGATGGCACCACGCTGTGGGCCGTGAAGCGCGCCAAAGTCATCACCGCTGACTTCCACAGAGAGGTGGGTCAAGTCAAGCCAACACCCTTGAGAGCTCTCAAAATTATATTCTAGACGGGTCAAGGTCGTCACCGCTGACTTCCACAGAGAGGTGGGCCGACAGCTTTGAGAATCCTCAAGAACAAATTCTAGATGGGCCAAAAGTCAACACTGCTGTTTTTCACAGAGAGGTGAGCCGGCCGACAGCTTTGAGAATCCTCAACACGCGATTCTAGATGGGCCGAAGTCAACACCTCGCCTCTGACTTCCACAGAGAGGTGGGGGGTGTAGGTGTAGTAGCATAGCAGGAGCGTTGGGGCTTTGCAGCTGTGGTAAGAGAAGCTCACGCAGGTGCCTCAGGCGGCCTTTGAGTCAATCCAAAAGGCTTGCCCCTCTCTGGCCATGCAGTTGTGTCAACTATGCTATGCACTTGTGTCAGTCCCTCCTTCCTTCCTTCCTTCCTTCCTTCCTTCCTTCCTTCCTTCCTTCCTTCCTTCCTTCCTTCCTTCTTGCCCTTTTCTCTTCTCTTGGTCCATCACAGGTGGCGCAGATGGCAACGAAGCACCATCCGAATCTGGTGCGGCTGCTGGGGTATGCAGTGGGAGGCCATGTGAACACGCGGGTGGAGAACATTCTCGTCTATGAGTTCATCGCCAATGGCGACCTGCGCACGTGGATCGGCCCAGGTACTGCCTGGTCCATTGTTTGTGCGTCGGCCATGCAGTTGTGTCAAACATGCACTTGTGTGGTTGTGTCAAACATGCACTTGTGTGGTTGTGTCAAACAAGCACTTGTGTGGTTGTGTCAAACATGCACTTGTGTGGTTGTGTCAAACATGCACTTGTGTGGTTGTGTCAAACATGCACTTGTGTGGTTGTGTCAACCATGCAGTCGTGTCAAGCATGCCTTTCTTGGCTCTGAAGTATCAATTGCACTGAATGCTGCTTCCCTCCAATGCTGCTTCCCTCCAATGCTGCTTCCCTCCAATGCTTGCCTCGGCTCTGCCATTCTCCAGATGCGCCCACGAGTTTGACTCTGCAGCAGCGGGTGGGCATCCTACTAGGGGTGGCGCGTGGGTTGGAGTATCTCCACAGCTTTGGCCTCGTGCACCGCGACATCAAGCCAGCCAACATCCTTATTGACGCCCACATGCAGGTGCGTTGATATCTTAGTTGACTCGAAAGTAGGGTTGAGCAACGAATTGAACCTAAGTTCGGTTCGGTCAAAACATGTTCGCCTCGTGCATCGGGACGTCAAGCCAGCCAACATCCTCATTGATGCCCACATGCAGGTACGGTGCGGTGCGGTGATGAGGTGGGATGGTTACATGTTGGCAAGGCACTTGCTTCACATTAAGGAGGGGTGGGAAGGCGCTACAACCACCGTGAAAACAATCAACCCATCCTCTCAATCAGATCAACCCATTGTGACTGAATCTGAATTAGATAAATCCACTGTGCCCCAATCCTTCTCCGCCTCTCGTCTCGCCTCCTGTGCCCGACCATTCCCAGGCGAAGGTGGCAGACTTTGGGCTTGTGCACGTGGGGGAGGGCGCAGCAGCGGGCACAACAACGGGCTTCACGCGAGTGCTGGGAACGGTGGGCTATGTGGACCCCGCTTACTCGCTCACGCACAACGCCACCACCACTGCTGACGTTTACAGGTGCGTGCAGTGAAGATTTGAGTCCGGTTTCTTAGTCGAGTTGGATTTGTGATTCAGGGAACGCAGCGCCACTACCACCGTCACTGGTGTGTACAAACGTAGTGCACCCTTGAAGTATACAACTACAGTGAATGACACTTGTCCAGAAGTTAATCAAATGGAAAGGAGGTTTAAACCACAGCCTCTTAATGCAAGTAATGACAGAATGAGATACAAGGAGTTGAGGCTTAGTGCATGCTCCAACATCCACCAAATCACCTTCTTCGCCTCTCTTCTATTGCCATCTGTGCTCACTTGCTTTCGTTCCTATCTTAGCCTTGGCAATGCTTCTTTCCCATCGTTTTCAAACCCACAGCAAATGAAATGGTGCTTCCTTCCTAGATTCCTTCCTTCCTTATTGTATTGCGTCCCTATTTCCTTGCATCTTTGCACACTTCGTTCTTTTTTTCTTTCTTTCTTTCTTTCGTTTTTCCTTTCTTTCTTTCTTTCTTTCTTTCTTTCTTTCTTTCTTTCTTTCTTTCTTTCTTTCTTTCTTTCTTTCTTTCTTTCTTGCTTTCTTTCTTTCTCTCGTTCGTTCTTTCTTCCTTGCTTCCATGCTCCCTTCGATCCTTAATCCCGTGGTTCCTTCATACTCAAATGTGTTTCGTCGTGCACCTTAGCCATTCTCAAGATGGAAATGCTCTCAGGCAGAAGAGCCACCATCCATGCGAAGAGCCTTCGTGATCATGGTCACAAAATACTCGTTTGAGAGTACTCCTTCTTTGTTCTCGGGTGCGTTTCATGGTGCAGTTTTGGCGTGCTCATGCTGGTGATGCTGTCAGGCAGAGGAGCCACCATCAACACGATGAGCCCAGGCACTGAGTCAGGCGCCTGTGCCAGCCACGAGCCCATCTCCATCTCCAAATGGGTGCGTTTGCTGTTCCCGCTTCCGCCCATCAATATCTGCACTGTTCTTTCCTCAGCGCCCCAACCAAAACTGTTTACGCGTGTACTCGTCAGGGTTCCCTTCACCTGTTGTGCCCAGCATATGTTTCTCCCCGTCTTCTCCTCCCCACTGACAATCACGTGCCACCCTCACCCCCCATCAAGTATTTCCCGGCCCCATCATAAATTGCCCCCCTTCTCCCTATCATGTCTGTCCTGCCACATATTCCAGGCAACTGATCTCATGGCGGAAGGGAAGACATCACCCCTCAGGGACCCGCGCATGGAAGCACCTGAGGACATCACCATACGCCTTGCCCACCTCGCTGTCACCTGCACTGCCATGCCCACCGCCTCCCGCCCCTCCATGTCCCGAGTGGCCCAAGACCTGGAAGCTCTGCGGGATGAGGCAGGAGGGGGGGATGCGAGAGCGCGAGCGGCAGCGAGGGTTGACGAGAAGATGTCAAATCAGCGGTTACGGAGGAGCATGGAGGAGGACCTTGCGTTGCTGAATGAGCAAGTCATGCACGAGGGTGAAGCAACGGCTATCTTTGCACAGACATGAGAGCATAACATTTTTTTGCGTGAAAAGCTACTTCGTTAACATGATTTGGTTATCAATCAGAGTGTGAATACGGTACGTCTCTAAGGGAACATTCGGGCCTTGACGTGTCACAAAAGTTCGTGTTGCAATCAAGTGTACCGCTCCGTACCGAACTATACCAAAGTTTGATTTTTTTTTACAACGTTCGATACTTGGGTGAAATTTGGTGTAATACGATGCAGTGCGGTAGAATCGATTGTGACGCTAACTTTTGTGACATGTCAAGGCCCGAATGTTCCCTTAAGTAAGGCACATACCGGTACCTTCTGCGATATGGTTAGAAGGCTCATTCTCTTCCACCAGATTATCTCCCTAGTTGGACAATCAAGTGCAAAGCCCTAATACGGTAGTACTGTTGGTAGCTAAACGTGCAAAGCTACCATAGCTAGCTCGTCCTTTGCACATGTAACGAAACGTCATGCAGGTTCACAGCTACTACGTGTTGCTGAAAACGTAGTGTCAACTTGAAGAACTTGTTGACTTCAGCTTCTAGACTCCTGCTTACTGGGTAGGTAGTAGGTACCGTACATTACCGGTACATTGCTTCTCGACAATTAACTGAAGATAACCATTACCAGGTAGGACATGCAGTACAAGATATTACAAGTCGGTTCCCTGCGGAAGGGCCAACACCATGAAATGAAATGATAATCGGAAGTCTATGTATCTAATACGTTACATCCAAACCTTCAGCAATGTAAAACTACCTACCGTACATTCTCCAGCCAAGATCCTGCTTTCCCTGCATTTGAACATCTCAAATAGCACCCCTGCTTCTTCTCCAGTACGGTACATTTTCTCTTCAACACCACTTGCAATGTCAGGTGTCAGGAGCAGCCAGCAAGAAGCATGTGGCCATGAAGCTTTACGTTCTTAACAGACCAGCTTGTGGATGCATGATGCGTATAAAGTTCTGGAACAATGGAAAGTGTCAACGTTTCACTTCCCGCTTTTCTTCAAACCCGCACCTCCAATAGAACCCTTAGCAGCCTTGGACTTCAATTCTTTTAAAGCCTGAAAACAAGAAACACAAACTCAGGACAGCTTGAAAACAGAAAAGGTAAGCTAAGCGAAGCGACAAAGGAGTCTCGGTTCTAACCTTCTCTTCTTCTTTCTTCTTGGCTAGGTACGCAAGATCAGCCTGTTACATCCAAGAAAGGTGACAGATCAAGAGATGCTGGATCGTCCAAAAAAACAGATGACAACATCAAATTGAGGCATGTTAACTGCTGCTCACATCGTCGTAATCTTTATCCTTGGCCTTAGCCTGCTTTAAGGGTTTTAGCTTGCCGCCTGCAGGTAATAAGGACAACTAGTCACCCTTACGAAAACAATAACGAATAAGAAGCTCACGCTCAAGTAGCTAAAAGAAATAGTCACCTTGTCGTCCGGACATGGTGAATAAACCAGGTGAAGTCGCCGGAGCAGACGAAGGTGTTCAAGCGAACGAGTTAGCGGGAATGAAGGGAATGAATTTGGCTTTTTCTATGGCAGGCTTGCTCCTGATCTCGCTGGCTGACAGACAACCTTGGGCTTGGGGGTCAATTCTTGCTGTGGTTAAAGGAACCATCACCACGTAGAACCCTTGAGAACCGTAATTTGTGTCAATTCCACCGCAGTTAACAGAAGGCCATCACCAACTCCTTTCATACTCGCCAATTTCATACCCGGTACTCGCACACCACGTTCTCGACCAGCCTGGAGAACAGCGCACCGTATAAACAAGAAGTTATTTGTGGAGTTGAGTTGTCTGAACTCGGACGTGCACTCGGTTCACCCTAGCCGGCTCATGAGACCATAAGGAGCACCATCGTTGCATTCCCATACTTACCACATGAGCATGCCGCTCCAAACTGCAGTTCTTGCGTCGGGTATATTGGGGGACCATTGTTGAGGACCAAGTGCGAGGCGATTAAGATGTAGTATTATATCCCTATCTTTGGTGCTCTCATAACTGTCGTTCACATCGCAACAACTCGATACGCGCTGTACAATGCGGCGACGAGACGTCTTCCTTCGCACGAGCGTGGATGACGGCGGGCCTGACGTGGAGCCTCCGTTGCAACAGCTTCCGAAGAACCACACGGGCTTCAGCAGTAATCCTCGCGACTTGGGCGGTGGCGGCGGCGGCGGCGGCGGAGGCGGGAAGCCGCAAATTCTGTGGTCGCGAAGCACGTCTATGAATGGCCGCGATATGCGCTTCATGGTCCAATGGGCGTCGTCCTCTGCTGCCACGTCACCCGACCCGCGCTCCTTATTCCATTCGTCCGTCCCGGAGCATAGTACCACGCCGGACCGCGGCAACATTTCCTTTTCCTCCCGCACGCCGCTTGTTCCCGCGCTTCGAAGAAACCGTTCCTCTAACGCCTCCTCGTCGCCGCCGCTCGTTACAGGCACACCCGGCGCTTCCGCCAGCGGCGCAGCCACCGCGACGCCTCCGGTAGGGAAATCCGCTTCCGCCAACGCCCGTTCCGCGACTGCCGCACCGCTCCTTTCCGCCTCGCATTCCTTCTCCTCGCGCGGAGATGATGAGCGGCTGCCCGCGCGAACCCGCGCCGACCCTTCCGCCGCCGCGGTGGCAGCTGCCCCCTGCCCGCATGCCGCCCCCGGCTGGGGGATGCCCTGCTCTGCGTGCCTGCGGCGCGCGCTGGAAGGAGGCGGAGCTGTTCCGCGCTCGTCGTCCGCGGAGGGTCGCGTGCAGCAGCGCCCTGCGGGGGCGGAAGAGGCGGGGAACGGGGCGCGGGCGCCGGAAGGCAAGGCAGGAGGGCGGAGAGGAGAGGGAGAGGGGGAAAGCGAGTGGGACGGGGGGAGGAAAGGAGCGGAAAAGGGAGGCGACGGGGGGGCACGGAATGGAGACCGAGGGGAACCTATGGACCAATCAGCGAAAGGCGCCGCAAACAGTGGAAGCCGATTGGCTGAGGAACTGGAGCTGGCAACCCCGGTGAATCTGCGGCCAATCAAAACGGGCGTCAGTGCGAATGCTGCTGCGAGCTTGGCATCCCTCCCACCCCCCCCATCCCCGCCCTGTCCCCCATCTCCCCCATCAGGAGCAATGGGGCTGGGAGGGAGCCTTTTAGGTTCGGCCAAGTCGTTTGCCCGGGCGTTTAGCTTCGGTGCCAAGGGAGGTCCGGTGACAGGTGCGGGTGGTAGGGCGGGAATGCCTCGGCCCCGAATCGGCCCGTCCATGTCAGCTTCGGAGCTGCTCTCGTCCGTCCCTTCCTCCACGTCAGCAGCACTACAGGACAAGACGGCTACGAGGCAAGAACCGCAGAGAGGGTCATCTGGGGTAGGTGCATCTGGTGCTGAGGCAGGCAGTGAGGCATGGAGGAGGATAGGCGGCGGGGGTCCTGCTGCTGCTGCCAGAACTGGCGCTGCTGCTGCTGCTGCTGCTGCTGCTGCTGGCGTTGCTGCCGCTACAACTGCCGCTGCTGCCGCTGTCGCTTCTGCTGGTGCAGCAGCTGCTGCTGGTGGTGGCGGTGGCGGTGGCGGCGGTGGTGGTGGTGTAAGGGGTTCGTCTGGCAATTCCGGTGGTGCTTATATGGGAGGTGCTTCCAACGGAGTGGGTGGGGAGCAGGGCGATGGAAGGGCGCACAGGCACTTGAATGGGCATGGCGGGGAGGACTGGGGGGGACGGGGGAATGGGCGGGGGCATGGGCAAGGGAATGGGCAGGGGCATGGGCAGGGTGGGGGTTGGGGAAGGCAGGCTGGGGAAGGGGGAAGGGGAGAGTGGGGGGATGGGGGAGAGCCGGATGGGGGACGAGCGGGCAGTGGGGGGCGGGGAGGATGGGGGGAGAGAAGAAGGGGAGGTGGGGAGTGGGAAGAGGGGGAGTGGGGAAGAGGGCGATGGGGACGAGAGGGGTGGGGGGGAGGACCATGGGGGGAAGAGGGAGCGTGGGGAGGGGAAGCGGCTGGGGCAAGAGAAGGATCCGGGGGGTGGTGGGGAGAAGCAGCGGAGGGAAAATGGGATGGTGGGTGGTGGGGAGGAAGGGGGGCAGACAGGGGAAGAGGAGGATGGGGAGGAGGAGGAGGGCGAGAAAGGGAATGGGGAGGAGGAGGACGAAACATGGGCATGGGCGACAGAGGCATGGGTATGGGCATGGGCATGGGGGGAGGCATGGGGGGAGGGATGGGAGGGGCGGGTGGCGTGTCGGCGTGGCAGCAGCAGCGGCCCTTCCCTGGTTGGCCTGGGGGGCCGGGGGGGTACCCGCCCTTCCATGGCTACTCCAACCGCAAGCCGTGGTGGCAGCGCTGCACTCTCTGGCTCCTCTGGATACTCGTAAGCCGCCCTCCCCTCACCCCCTGTAAACTCTGTGGGTTTCCGTGCCTTACCTCTTATATGCCCCCTAGCCCTCTGCCCCCTGCGACTTTATCCCCGGCCGAAACCCCCACCCGCCGTGCCCCTTTTTCTGCCTTCCGTCCCCTGTAACATCTGCTCGCCTTCCACACTCCTCCACACTCCCCTGTAACATCTGCTCGCCTTCCACACTCCTCCACACTCCCCTGTAACATCTGCTCGCCTTCCACACTCCTCACTTCCCCCTGCCACCCGCACAACAACCAAGTCCATCTCGTCTGTCAAAACGTCACTGCCCAGCCCACCTTCTGTGTCTTCCCCACCTGATTCTTCTCTACCATCCCACCATCTCTGTCCTCCTCACATCACATCACATCACATCACATCACATCACATCACATCACATCACATCACATCACATCACATCACATCACATCACATCACATCACAGCACAGCACATCACATCACATCACATCACATCACATCACATCACATCACAGCACATCACATCACATCACATCACATCACATCACATCACAGCACATCACATCACATCACATCACATCACAGCACATCACATCACATCACATCACATCACATCACATCACATCACATCACAGCACATCACATCACATCACATCACAGCACATCACAGCACATCACATCACATCACATCACATCACATCACATCACATCACATCACATCACATCACATCACATCACATCACATCACATCACATCACATCACATCACAGCACATCACAGCACATCACATCACATCACATCACATCACATCACATCACATCACATCACATCACATCACATCACATCACATCACATCACATCACATCACATCACAGCACATCACAGCACATCACATCACATCACATCACATCACATCACATCACATCACATCACATCACATCACATCACATCACAGCACATCACAGCACATCACATCACATCACATCACATCACATCACATCACATCACATCACATCACATCACATCACATCACATCACATCACATCACATCACATCACATCACAGCACATCACAGCACATCACATCACATCACATCACATCACATCACATCACATCACATCACATCACATCACATCACAGCACATCACAGCACATCACAGCACATCACATCACATCACATCACATCACATCACATCACATCACATCACATCACATCACATCACATCACATCACATCACAGCACATCACAGCACATCACATCACATCACATCACATCACATCACATCACATCACATCACATCACATCACATCACATCACATCACATCACATCACATCACATCACATCACAGCACATCACAGCACATCACATCACATCACATCACATCACATCACATCACATCACATCACATCACATCACATCACAGCACATCACAGCACATCACATCACATCACATCACATCACATCACATCACATCACATCACATCACATCACATCACATCACATCACATCACATCACAGCACATCACAGCACATCACAGCACATCACAGCACATCACAGCACATCACAGCACATCACAGCACATCACAGCACATCACATCACATCACATCACATCACATCACATCACATCACATCACATCACATCACATCACATCACATCACATCACATCACATCACAGCACATCACAGCACAGCACATCACATCACATCACATCACATCACATCACATCACATCACATCACATCACATCACATCACATCACATCACATCACATCACATCACATCACAGCACGCCCTACTCATCCTCTCATCCTCTCATCCTCTCAGCCTCTCAGCCTCTCAGCCTCTCAGCCTCTCAGCCTCTCAGCCTCTCAGCCTCTCAGCCTCTCAGCCTCTCAGCCTCTCAGCCTCTCAGCCTCTCAGCCTCTCAGCCTCTCAGCCTCTCAGCCTCTCAGCCTCTCAGCCTCTCAGCCTCTCAGCCTCTCAGCCTCTCAGCCTCTCAGCCTCTCAGCCTCTCAGCCTCTCAGCCTCTCAGCCTCTCAGCCTCTCAGCCTCTCAGCCTCTCAGCCTCTCATCCTCTCATCCTCTCATCCTCTCAGCCTCTCAGCCTCTCAGCCTCTCAGCCTCTCAGCCTCTCAGCCTCTCAGCCTCTCAGCCTCTCAGCCTCTCAGCCTCTCAGCCTCTCAGCCTCTCAGCCTCTCAGCCTCTCAGCCTCTCAGCCTCTCAGCCTCTCAGCCTCTCAGCCTCTCAGCCTCTCAGCCTCTCAGCCTCTCAGCCTCTCAGCCTCTCAGCCTCTCAGCCTCTCAGCCTCTCAGCCTCTCAGCCTCTCAGCCTCTCAGCCTCTCAGCCTCTCAGCCTCTCAGCCTCTCAGCCTCTCAGCCTCTCAGCCTCTCAGCCTCTCAGCCTCTCAGCCTCTCATCCTCTCATCCTCTCATCCTCTCAGCCTCTCAGCCTCTCAGCCTCTCAGCCTCTCAGCCTCTCAGCCTCTCAGCCTCTCAGCCTCTCAGCCTCTCAGCCTCTCAGCCTCTCAGCCTCTCAGCCTCTCAGCCTCTCAGCCTCTCAGCCTCTCATCCTCTCATCCTCTCAGCCTCTCATCCTCTCATCCTCTCAGCCTCTCATCCTCTCATCCTCTCATCCTCTCATCCTCTCATCCTCTCAGCCTCTCATCCTCTCATCCTCTCAGCCTCTCAGCCTCTCATCCTCTCATCCTCTCAGCCTCTCATCCTCTCATCCTCTCAGCCTCTCAGCCTCTCATCCTCTCATCCTCTCAGCCTCTCAGCCTCTCATCCTCTCAGCCTCTCATCCTCTCATCCTCTCATCCTCTCATCCTCTCAGCCTCTTATCCTCTCATCCTCTCAGCCTCTCAGCCTCTCATCCTCTCATCCTCTCAGCCTCTCATCCTCTCATCCTCTCAGCCTCTCAGCCTCTCATCCTCTCAGCCTCTCAGCCTCTCATCCTCTCATCCTCTCAGCCTCTCAGCCTCTCATCCTCTCATCCTCTCATCCTCTCATCCTCTCAGCCTCTCAGCCTCTCAGCCTCTCAGCCTCTCAGCCTCTCAGCCTCTCAGCCTCTCAGCCTCTCATCCTCTCAGCCTCTCATCCTCTCATCCTCTCATCCTCTCATCCTCTCATCCTCTCATCCTCTCATCCTCTCATCCTCTCATCCTCTCATCCTCTCATCCTCTCATCCTCTCATCCTCTCATCCTCTCATCCTCTCATCCTCTCATCCTCTCATCCTCTCATCCTCTCAGCCTCTCATCCTCTCATCCTCTCATCCTCTCATCCTCTCACTCTTTCATCATTCATCTCCTCCACGTGCTGCTGCTTCTCCCCTGCTGCTTCTCTGCGCGCACCCTCTCCTCTTGCCATCAAGCATGTGTGGTGCATATGCTTCTCTGCATCTGAAACAACTCCACTCCCTGTATCCTCCCATGGCCTTGCCTCTCCTCCTCTCAGCCTCTCAGCCTCTCAGCCTCTCAGCCTCTCAGCCTCTCAGCCTCTCAGCCTCTCAGCCTCTCAGCCTCTCAGCCTCTCAGCCTCTCAGCCTCTCATCCTCTCAGCCTCTCAGCCTCTCAGCCTCTCATCCTCTCAGCCTCTCATCCTCTCATCCTCTCATCCTCTCAGCCTCTCAGCCTCTCAGCCTCTCATCCTCTCATCCTCTCAGCCTCTCATCCTCTCATCCTCTCATCCTCTCAGCCTCTCAGCCTCTCATCCTCTCATCCTCTCATCCTCTCAGCCTCTCATCCTCTCATCCTCTCATCCTCTCATCCTCTCATCCTCTCATCCTCTCAGCGTCTCATCCTCTCATCCTCTCAGCCTCTCAGCCTCTCATCCTCTCATCCTCTCAGCCTCTCATCCTCTCATCCTCTCAGCCTCTCAGCCTCTCATCCTCTCATCCTCTCAGCCTCTCATCCTCTCATCCTCTCAGCCTCTCATCCTCTCATCCTCTCATCCTCTCATCCTCTCAGCCTCTCATCCTCTCATCCTCTCAGCCTCTCAGCCTCTCATCCTCTCATCCTCTCAGCCTCTCATCCTCTCATCCTCTCAGCCTCTCAGCCTCTCATCCTCTCATCCTCTCAGCCTCTCAGCCTCTCATCCTCTCAGCCTCTCATCCTCTCATCCTCTCATCCTCTCATCCTCTCAGCCTCTTATCCTCTCATCCTCTCAGCCTCTCAGCCTCTCATCCTCTCATCCTCTCAGCCTCTCATCCTCTCATCCTCTCAGCCTCTCAGCCTCTCATCCTCTCAGCCTCTCAGCCTCTCATCCTCTCATCCTCTCAGCCTCTCAGCCTCTCATCCTCTCATCCTCTCATCCTCTCAGCCTCTCATCCTCTCAGCCTCTCAGCCTCTCAGCCTCTCAGCCTCTCAGCCTCTCAGCCTCTCATCCTCTCAGCCTCTCAGCCTCTCATCCTCTCATCCTCTCATCCTCTCATCCTCTCATCCTCTCATCCTCTCATCCTCTCATCCTCTCATCCTCTCATCCGCTCATCCTCTCATCCTCTCATCCTCTCATCCTCTCATCCTCTCAGCCTCTCATCCTCTCATCCTCTCATCCTCTCGTCATCCGCCCATATGTCATGTCATTTCATCTACGCGCATCTTGATTCTCGATTCTCGATTCTCGATTCTTGACCGCAGGCCATCGTGGCTGCCGTGGCTCTCTTCGCCTGGTGCATCCACGAGCGCTCAAGAGCTGATGCTCTGCAGGTGTGCTTCCTTCCTATCCCTTCTTCCACATGCGATTTTCTCTGAGCCCATCCAGTGCAGTGCGGTGTGGTGCAGTGCAGTGCAGTGCAGTGCATTGTCCACTCCTCCCTCCCTCTTACTCTCCCCCACTCCGTTTTCTGGCACTGCCGCCCCTACCTGCCATCCAACCCCTTGCACCCACCACCACCCCTCACCACCGACCACCCTCCCCTCACTACCAATCACCACTCCTTCTCCCCCCCCCCCAGTTCCACCTGCGAGTGCTCATAGAGAGGCAACACCGCATCACACAGCGCCTGCACTCCGGTGCCTGGGGGGACACTGGCAGCACCACTGGCAGCAGCAGCAGCAGCAGCAGCAGCAGCAGCAGCAGCAGCAGCAGCAGCACTGGAAGCAGCAGCAGCAGCACTGGAAGCAGCAGTAGCAGTAGTGGGGCGGCATGGTGGGAAGACATGGTCATGCTCCCCACTGGTGGGCGGGCGGCGACAGCTGGCATCTTGCTCCAGCCAATCAGAGGCGAGGGGGGAAGCGTGGTGGTAGAGGAGGCAAAGGAAGAAAGGTCCGGAAGGCGCGTGAGAGTGGCAGGCAGCGGCAGGGGGAGGGAGCGAGGGGAGGAAGAGGAGAGGGAGGTGGAGGAGGAGGAGGAAAGGGAAGGTGGAGGAGGAGGAGACACGGAGGTTGACGAAGTGGTGTGGCGGCGTTTGGCTCTATTCACCTCGCTGCTCTGCTTCCTCCTCCCCCTAGTGCTCGCGAAACACATGGACAGGATCGCTACCTTCCTCCACCTCGACCCCCCCAAAACCGAGCAAACACCCGTCACCCCCGCACTGAGCCACTTGTCACCGCACCACACCGCAGCACAGCAGCACAGGCGGGGAGGAGCAGCAGGGGCACTGCAAGGGGCAGCAGGGGGCGGTGTGAGCAGCCCTGGTCTAGCCCATGGGAATCGGCAAGGCGGGGTGCCGGGGGCGCATGGGCAGGGGGGCCATGCCCAGGGGAGCCATGGGCAGGGGGAGGAGGTGGCAGCAGCGCCGTTCAGCAAGCGCCTGGCGTATCGAGTGGATGTGCTCTTCTCCACGCACTCCTACGTTAAGAGCCTCGCTCTGCTCACCGCTACGCTCGTGCTGTGAGTAACCTCTTTCGCATGCCTGGCGTACCGAGTGGATGTGAGCAGAGCAAGGCTCTTCTCCACTCACTCCTATGTCACGAGCCTTGCGCTGCTCACTTCCACTCTTGTGCTGTGAGTCGCCTCTCTCCGTCTCTCTGTCCCGCTTTCCATGCAGCGCGCCAATCTCGCCATGCATTGCATTCTGCCCAACTCGTGGTTCCAAATTCCCCCCTCTTCCTCCTCCGCAGCCCCCTTCACTCATCCGGTCCAACTCCTCTTGTCTCCCTTTCTTCCGCCCACCCTAATGCCGCCCAATCCCGCCGCCCGATCCCGCTCCGTCCAGCATCGCGGTGGGCGGCCTGGCCCTGTACGCCGTGAGTGGCAAGGAGCGTCTTGTTCTGGCCGACGCCACGTGGCGGGCCTGGACCTACGTGGCAGACGCTGGTAACCACGCGGACAGCGAGGGCGTGGGGCCGCGCGTGGTGAGCGTGAGTGTGAGCATCGGCGGCATGCTGGTGTTTGCGCTGATGGTGGGGTTGGTGTCGGAGGGCATCTCAGAGAAGGTTGACTCGCTCAGGAAGGGCAAGAGCGACGTCATCGAGCACAACCACACGCTCATCCTCGGCTGGAGCGACAAGCTCGTGAGTCAAGGGGATGGGGATGGGGATAGGGTGGGGTCCCGCTCTTTTCCCTTTCTCCTCGCCCTCCCCCTCCCGTTCTCCGCTCTGCTGCTTGTTGCATGGGTGGGAGGGCAAGAGTGATTGAGCACAACCACACGCTCATCCTCGGCTGGAGAGACAAGCTCGTGGGTTCTGGGAGTGGGGGTGGGGGTGATGGGGATGGGGATGGGGATGGGGATGGGGATGGGGATGGGGATGGGGATGGGGATGGGATGGGGATGGGGATGGGATGGGGATGGGGATGGGGATGGGGATGGGGATGGGGATGGGGATGGGGATGGGGATGGGGATGGGGATGGGGATGGGGATGGGGATGGGGATGGGGATGGGGATGGGATGGGGATGGGGATGGGATGGGGATGGATGGGATGGGGATGGGGATGGGGATGGGGATGGGGATGGGATGGGGATGGGGATGGGGATGGGGATGGGGATGGGGATGGGGATGGGGATGGGGATGGGGATGGGGATGGGGATGGGGATGGGGATGGGGATGGGGATGGGGATGGGGATGGGGATGGGGATGGGGATGGGGATGGGGATGGGGATGGGGATGGGGATGGGGATGGGGATGGGGATGGGGATGGGGATGGGGATGGGGATGGGGATGGGGATGGGGATGGGGATGGGGATGGGGATGGGGATGGGGATGGGGATGGGGATGGGGATGGGGATGGGGATGGGGATGGGGATGGGGATGGGGATGGGGATGGGGATGGGGATGGGGATGGGGATGGGGATGGGGATGGGGATGGGGATGGGGATGGGATGGGGATGGGGATGGGGATGGGGATGGGGATGGGATGGGGATGGGGATGGGGATGGGGATGGGGATGGGGATGGGGATGGGGATGGGGATGGGGATGGGGATGGGGATGGGGATGGGGATGGGGATGGGGATGGGGATGGGGATGGGGATGGGGAATTGAGCACAACCACACGCTCATCCTCGGCTGGAGAGACAAGCTCGTGGGTTCTGGGAGTGGGGGTGGGGTGATGGGGATGGGGATGGGGATGGGGATGGGGATGGGGATGGGGATGGGGATGGGGATGGGGATGGGGATGGGGATGGGGATGGGGATGGGGATGGGGATGGGGATGGGGATGGGGATGGGGATGGGGATGGGGATGGGGATGGGGATGGGGATGGGGATGGGGATGGGGATGGGGATGGGGATGGGGATGGGGATGGGGATGGGGATGGGGATGGGGATGGGGATGGGGATGGGGATGGGGATGGGGATGGGGATGGGGATGGGGATGGGGATGGGGATGGGGATGGGGATGGGGATGGGGATGGGGATGGGGATGGGGATGGGGATGGGGATGGGGATGGGGATGGGGATGGGGATGGGGATGGGGATGGGGATGGGGATGGGGATGGATGGGGATGGGGATGGGGATGGGGATGGGGATGGGGATGGGGATGGGATGGGGATGGGGATGGGGATGGGGATGGGGATGGGGATGGGATGGGGATGGGGATGGGGATGGGGATGGGGATGGGATGGGGATGGGGATGGGGATGGGGATGGGGATGGGGATGGGGATGGGGATGGGGATGGGAGGGGATGGGGATGGGGATGGGGATGGGGATGGGGATGGGGATGGGGATGGGGATGGGATGGGGATGGTGATGGGGATGGGGATGGGGATGGGGATGGGGATGGGGATGGGATGGGGATGGGGATGGGATGGGGATGGGGATGGGGATGGGGATGGGGATGGGGATGGGATGGGGGATGGGGATGGGGATGGGGATGGGGATGGGGATGGGGATGGGGATGGGGATGGGGATGGGGATGGGGATGGGGATGGGGATGGGGATGGGGATGGGGATGGGGATGGGGATGGGGATGGGGATGGGGATGGGGATGGGGATGGGGATGGGGATGGGGATGGGGATGGGGATGGGGATGGGGATGGGGATGGGGATGGGGATGGGGATGGGGATGGGGATGGGGATGGGGATGGGGATGGGGATGGGGATGGGGATGGGGATGGGGATGGGGATGGGGATGGGGATGGGGATGGGGATGGGGATGGGGATGGGGATGGGGATGGGGATGGGGATGGGGATGGGGATGGGGATGGGGATGGGGATGGGGATGGGGATGGGGATGGGGATGGGGATGGGGATGGGGATGGGGATGGGGATGGGGATGGGGATGGGGATGGGGATGGGGATGGGGATGGGGATGGGGATGGGGATGGGGATGGGGATGGGGATGGGGATGGGGATGGGGATGGGGATGGGGATGGGGATGGGGATGGGGATGGGGATGGGGATGGGGATGGGGATGGGGATGGGGATGGGGATGGGGATGGGGATGGGGATGGGGATGGGGATGGGGATGGGGATGGGGATGGGGATGGGGATGGGGATGGGGATGGGGATGGGGATGGGGATGGGGATGGGGATGGGGATGGGGATGGGGATGGGGATGGGGATGGGGATGGGGATGGGGATGGGGATGGGGATGGGGATGGGGAGCATGGGAGGTGGCGTGGTGGTGGTTGGGTGGTGATTCATGTTAATCCCGCCTTTCTCTCTGTCTTGTCTCCCCCATCGCCCATTCCCGTCATGCCCATCCCCACCTTCCCAGGCGTCGCTGCTGAAGCAGCTGGCGGTGGCGAATGAGAGCATGGGGGGCGGCGTGGTGGTGGTGATGGCGGAGCGAGACAAGGAGGAGATGGAGAGCGAGATCGCCAAGATGGAATTCGCCTTCAAAGGCACCTCCGTCATCTGCAGGTGCGCTCTCTTGAAATGAGGCCGTTTCCAATCAGTATACAGGAACTAGCAAAGTATCTGTAGCTAGCATACTGTCAGCACCGAATCACCAAGGAGGACAAGGAGGAGATGGAGTGCGAGATCGCCAAGATGGAGTTCGCCTTCAAGGGCACCTCCGTCATCTGCAGGTTCGTGCGGTCTGTTAGAATCTGCAGGTACGTGCACCTCGGTCTGTTAGAATCTGCAGGTACGTGCACCTCGGTCTGTTAGAATCTGCAGGTACGTGCACCTCGGTCTGTTAGAATCTGTCGACACCTCTCCCCGCCTCCACCTCTTGCTGCACGTGCTACCACGGCGTGCTCCTGAGTCGACTCAAAAGTCACCTAGCACGGCGTGCTCCCTCATCATGCTGCTCGCCGCTCTGCCTTGCGCCCTCTTTCGTTTATGTCCCTGTCCCTTTTGACAGGTCCGGCTCCCCTTTCCTCTTGTTCTCCCTTCCCACTTCAGCAGCAGCAAGTCCTCTCCCCTCCACCTCTCTCCACTTTGCGTTGTGCGCCCCTCCCCGCTCTTGCTTGCATGCTCGACCCTCTTTTCCCCTCCCTGGCAGATCCGGCTCCCCTCTCGTCCTGGCCGACTTAAAGAAGGTGTCAGTGAGCACAGCTCGCTCACTCATCGTGCTGGCAGAAGCAGAGAACGCGGATGCTGCAGATGCCAGCGCGCTCCACCTAGTCCCCTTGTTCTCCTCCCCCCCCACACCCCTCCTCACTCTGCCTTGCGCCCCATTTGGCAGGTCTGGCTCCCCTCTGGTCTTAGCGGACCTAAAGAAGGTGTCAGTGAGCACGGCGCGCTCACTCATCGTACTGGCAGAGGTGTAAGGAGGCCCTGTCCCAATCTCTTCCCACGCTGCTTCCCCCTCCCCTCTCCAACAGGTCCGGCTCCCCCCTGGTCCTAGCAGACCTAAAGAAGGTGTCAGTGAGCACGGCGCGCTCCCTCATCGTACTGGCGGAAGCAGAGAACGCGGATGCTGCATATGCGCGCGCGCTCCACCTAGTCCCCTTGTTCTCCTTCCCCCCCACACCCCTCCTCACTCTGCCTTGCACCCCATTTGGCAGGTCTGGCTCCCCCCTGGTCTTTGCGGACCTAAAGAAGGTGTCAGTGAGCACGGCGCGCTCCCTCATCGTACTGGCCGAGGCGGAGAACGCTGATGCTGCGGATGCACTGGCGCTCAAAGTCCCCCTTGTTGTCCCTTACCCCTCCACCTCTCCTCAATTCGCCTTGCCCCCTCCTCCCATTTCACAGGTCTGGCTCCCCCCTGGTCCTAGCAGACCTGAAGAAGGTGTCAGTGAGCACGGCACGCTCCCTCATCGTGCTGGCAGAGGCGGAGAACGCGGATGCTGCAGATGCGCGCGCGCTGAGGGTGGTGCTGTCGCTGACGGGCGTGCGCGAGGGGCTGAGAGGGCACATTGTGGTGGAGCTCAGTGACCTGGATAACGAGGCACTTGTGAAGGTGAGGGCAGCACGTGAGGTGGTATAGAGCAGCCTAGAAATGCAGTAGCTTGAGAGTGGTGCTTTCAGTCTGAGGGAGGGTGCTGTTGAGAGGGCACATTGTGGTGGAGCTCAGTGACCTGGATAACGAGGCACTCGTGAAGGTGAGGGCCGCACAAGAGGGTAATGAGTTGCTTGTTAGGTAGCCTGGTAGTAGCCTCATAGCTTGAGAGTGGTGTTGTATGTGGCGGGCTGAGAGGGCACATTGTGGTGGAGCTCAGTGCCCTGGATAACGAGGCACTGGTGAGGCTGATGAGCGGGGGCAGGGAGAGTAGAGGTGGAGTGTGGCACTGGACTGCCGGGAGGGAGGCAGGGAGGGGCCGAGAGGGCACATTATGGTGGAGCTCAGTGACTTGGATAACAAGGCTTTGGTAAAGGTGAGGGCAGCATGTGAGGTAGTATATAACAACAGTGTAGTAGCTTAAGCGTGGTGCTGTCGCTGACGGGCGTGCGCGAGGGGCTGAGAGGGCACATTATGGTGGAGCTCAGTGACCTGGATAACGAGGCACTGGTGAAGGTGAGGGCAGCACGTGATGTATTAGCCTGGTAACCTAGTAGCCTGGTAGCATGAGGGTGGCGCTGTTGCTCACTGCGTGCTCGAGGGGCTGTGTGCGAGGGCACATAGCCTTGCAGCAAAGCTCTGGAGCCGGGGAGAAGTCACTGCTGAACAAGCACACGGCGTTTCAGGCGCCACCCTCCCCCCCCCTCCTGCCCCCCTTTCCCCCCACCTTACCCCTTTCCTCCTCACCCCTGCCCCCTCACCCCCGGCTGCCCCCCTCTTCCCGGCTGTTCCCCTCCTTTGCCTTACGCAGATGGTGGGAGGGCAGCAGGTGGAGACGGTGGTGGCACATGACGTGATAGGGCGGCTCATGATCCAGTGTGCGCGCCAGCCGGGGATGCCAATGCCCCCCTCTCTCCCCACCCCATCCCTGCCCCCTCTCCCCCCCCGCTGCCCCCTTCCCCCTTCCAACCCCACAGATGGTGGGAGGGCAGCAGGTGGAGACAGTGGTGGCACACGACGTGATAGGACGGCTGATGATTCAGTGCGCGCGGCAGCCAGGCCTGGCGCAGATATGGGAGGCGCTGCTGGGGTTCGACAACTGCGAGTTCTACGTCAAGCACTGGCCGCAGCTGGCGGGGAAGCCCTTCAGTGACGTGCTGATTTCGTTCCCGGATGCTGTGCCGTGTGGTGTGCGGATTGCCGGGGATGGAGGGAGGATCTGGCTCAACCCGGACGATGATTATGTGCTGCAGGTGAGGGGGAAAAAGGAAGGGTGCTGCAGGTGAGGGGGAAAAAGGAAGGGTGCTGCAGGTGAGGGGGAAAAAGGAAGGGTGCTGCAGGTGAGGGGGAAAAAGGAAGGGTGCTGCAGGTGAGGGGGAAAAAGGAAGGGTGCTGCAGGTGAGGGGGAAAAAGGAAGGGTGCTGCAGGTGAGGGGGAAAAAAGAAGGGTGCTGCAGGTGAGGGGGAAAAAAGAAGGGTGCTGCGGTTGGGGGAGGCGTTGCAGGTGGGGGGGGGAGTGGGCTGCAAGAGAGTGCAGTTCACGGTGTGTTGATTAAGAAGCTGCAGGTGATTCCAACGCATGTCCTCTTCCCCCCACCACCACCGCCGCTCCCTTTGTGACGCGCTCCATCCGCCTCCCCCGTTGACCTGTGTGCCCAACCATGAGTGGGGTGTCATGTCACAACTTTGCCACCAACTCATCACTGTGTTCCCCTTCCCTGCATCCCCCTCTCACCGCTGCCACCCGGACGATGCAATACTGGTGGTGGTGGCGGATGATGATGACTCGTATGCACCTGGCCCTTCAATGAGGTCGTATCAAAGCTCATTGCAAGCCTGACAATTCATCCCTCTCCTTCTCGTATTCATCCCCCTCCTTCTCTGCTCCCCATCCCCCTCTCACCGCTGCCAGCCCGATGATGCAGTGCTGGTGGTGGCGGAGGATGATGAATGACTCGTACGCGCCCGGCTCATGAGTGACAAGTCACAATTATCAACATCTCACATCCTCTTTTCTATCGCTCCAACCTTTCCTGACTGCCAGCCCAAAGATGCAGTGCTGGTGGAAGCGGAATGCGATGACTCGTACGCGCCCGGATCTGCTATCTGAGAAGCTACTCACTAGCGCATCTCTGTGTTTCCCATCCCTACATCCCCCTCACACCACCGCCAGACCGACGATGCTGTGATGGTGGTGGCGGAGGATGACGACTCCAACGTCCCCAGCCCGGCCCGTATGGGGGATGTCAGACGTTAATCTCCACCTCATTTCTGTCTTCCCCTTCTCTCACCCCCGCCAGCCCGACGATGCAGTGATGGTGGTGGCGGAGGATGACGACTCGTACACGCCCGGTCCGCTGCCCCACGTGCGCCACGCCATGCTGCCTGACGTCGTCGTGCCGCCCAAGCTGCCCGAAAAGATTCTATTCTGCGGATGGCGGCGCGACATTGACGACATGATTGTGGTACGGGCATGGGATTCTATACTGCTGATGGCTTGCTGTGCCATGTGAGGGGGCGTGCAGCATGGCATGTGAGGGGGCGTGCAGCATGGCATGTGAGGGGGCGTGCAGCATGGCATGTGAGGGGGCGTGCAGCATGGCATGTGAGGGGGCGTGCAGCATGGCATGTGAGGGGGCATGCAGCATGGCATGGAGTGTCATGGCATACAGTTGAGTCATGTGTGGGAATTTCCACAGTGGTCTCTTGTGACATGTCTGTTAACACACACACACACACGGTGTATGCTATGTCCTGGACATGCCTGTTTCTGGTGTTGGTGTTGGTGTTGTGGCATTATCCTGGATTATCTACAGCTCGCTCCGCCCCCTTTCGTGCTGAAAGCCACAGTTTTCCCTTTCCCCCTCACCCACGGTGATCCGCCTTTTCGCCCTTCACCTCTCATGAGAGCTGTGGATATTCTGGGTCAAGGACGTGGGGTGTGGGATGAGAGGTGAAAGGGCATGGGCCAATATGAGAGGTGAAGTGAAGGGCGAGTGTGGTGCACCACGTCCTTGTGCACCAATATGAGAGGTGATCCGCCTTTTCGCCCTTCACCTCTCATCCCCACCCCACGTCCTTCTGCTCTGCACCACTGTTTTTGTCGTTCCCTCTCCCACCCCCCCCCTCCTCCTCCCCTTTCCATCAGGTGCAGGAGGCCCTTTAGTGGGGGTGGCGAAGCTGTGGAGCTTCTATCAGATACGGATGGAGGAATGGAAGGACAGTGTTCCGTCTTCAATTCTCATTGTTCTCATTCTTTTCATGTCCCTCTCTGCTTCATTTTCCATCCTTCCCCCCTCCGCCAGGTGCTGGAAGCCTTTCTAGCGCGTGGCTCAGAGCTGTGGATATTGTGTGAGGTGCTGGTGGAGGAGCGGGAGGAGCGGCTGATGGAGGGAGGGCTCAACCCGGGCGACCTGGAGAACGTGGCTCTCGTGCACCGCGTCGGCAACGCCGTGATCCGCCGCCACCTTGAAAGCCTTCCTCTTGAGACCTTTGATTCGGTGAGCCTCCAGCTTCTTCAAATCGTCACACATTTTCCAGCACGCAGCAGCGGCCTAGGTGAAAGCTTAGCAAGTGGAAAAATTAGTGAAAATGCCTTGCTAGTCTTGAGAGCCTCCCCCCTTGACTCGTGAGCATCCTGGCTCCACTGAAGTCACTTTTGAGATTTCATACTCTTTGACTTGGGGAACTTCTTCCTGAATGTGCTGCTGCTACTGTTCCTGCTCCTGCTCCTGCGGGTGCCCAGTTACTTTTGAGTCGACTCAAAAGTCACCTTCCTGGACGTGCTGCTGCTGCTGCTGCTGCTGCTGCTGCCGCCGCCGCCGCCGCCGCCGCCGCCGCCGCCGCCGCCGCCGCCGCCGCCGCCGCCGCCGCCGCCGCCGCTGCTGCTGCTGCTGCTGCCGGTGCCTGGTCTGGCCAGGCCAGTCATCTCATGCTGATGCCCCCCTCCTGCCTCTCTACCCTCTTTCCATTTTTCGTTGTCCTCTCATTCCCCTTGCCCGCTCTCATCCTGTGGAACAGGTGGAACACCCACCGAGGTGGAACACCCACCGAGGTGGAACACCCACCGAGGTGCTCAAGTGTTATTTCCACCTTTTTCACTCTCCCTCCTCCCCTCTCTCCCCTCTTTCCCCTCTCTCCGCCCTCGCTCCCCTCTCTCACTCTTCCCTCTCTCCTCCTGGCAGGTCCTCATTTTGGCGAAAGAGGGAGTGAAGGATATGCTGGTTCCTTCTCTTGCGCGTGCTCTCAATTGTTTCCGAAACCTTCTTTTCCCTCTCGTCCCTCTCCCTCATCTCCACTCCCCCCTCTTCCCCCCGTCCCCCATCAACCCACCTAAATCAGATCCTCATTCTGGCGGACGAGGGCGTGGAGGATTAGTGATTAACTCCGACTCGCCCGCTCACTCGCAAGTGCTTTCCTTACCTTTCGTTTCACCCTCCCCCCTCAACAACCCCCCTCCCCCCCCCCCCCCCCAATCAGATCCTCATTCTAGCGGACGAGGGCGTGGAGGATTCGGTGATCAACTCCGACTCGCGCTCGCTCGCCACGCTGCTGCTCATCCGCGACATCCAGGTGAGTGCTGCACGGGGGAGGTGGGAGGGAGTGTAGGTGCTATCTGGGGACGGTGGGAGCTGTGTCAACCATCAACTCTGACTCGCGCTCTCTCGCCACGCTGCTGCTCATCCGCGGCATCCAGGTGACCTCTCTCTCAACTCAACGAATCACCGGATATTCAGGTAACCTTGCCGCTCAAGAAATTGCTGGCCCTCATGCAGCTGGCCAATGGAAACAAAACACGTTGGTCGGCGGACATTATGAGCGCGCGTATGCCCACCACTTCTCTGACCACTCTTCTTTTCTGAGGCTATCCTGCGAAAAGCCATCACTCACTCATGTCCGGGACGACTAAACAGGTCCCCAGGCCCAGGTCGCCACGCTGCTGCTCATCCGAGACATCCAGGTGAGTGCTACCCGGGGGAGGTTGCTTCACATCCAGGGGATTTCTGAAGGGAAAATCTGCTCATATGCAGTGCATAAACTCAGGGGCGTATGGTCGTATTGTATGGAGCTCCTCCCCCGCTGACCACTCTTCTGCTGGTTCGACGCTAAGTGTGAAAAAACGCTCAGGGGTGTTAGCGAATTGCGGAAATGCTCTTGCATATTGGCCCAAGACCCCTTACCACTCTGTTGCAGCGTCCACATGAATAACGTGCATTCTCCCCCTGCCCCCGCGCACATGCGCCCCCTCCTCCCGCGCTCCTCCCGCGCTCCTCCTCCTCCCGCGCTCCTCCCGCGCTCCTCCCGCGCTCCTCCCGCGCTCCTCCCGCGCTCCTCCCGCGCTCCTCCCGCGCTCCTCCCGCGCTCCTCCCGCGCTCCTCCCGCGCTCCTCCCGCGCTCCTCCGCGCTCCTCCGCGCTCCTCCCGCGCTCCTCCCGCGCTCCTCCCGCGCTCCTCCCGCGCTCCTCCCGCGCTCCTCCCGCGCTCCTCCCGCGCTCCTCCCGCGCTCCTCCCGCGCTCCTCCCGCGCTCCTCCCGCGCTCCTCCCGCGCTCCTCCCGCGCTCCTCCCGCGCTCCTCCCGCGCTCCTCCCGCGCTCCTCCCGCGCTCCTCCCGCGCTCCGCCCGCGCTCCTCCCGCGCTCCTCCCGCGCTCCTCCCGCGCTCCTCCCGCGCTCCTCCCGCGCTCCTCCCGCGCTCCTCCCGCGCTCCTCCCGCGCTCCTCCCGCGCTCCTCCCGCGCTCCTCCCGCGCTCCTCCCGCGCTCCTCCCGCGCTCCTCCCGCGCTCCTCCCGCGCTCCTCCCGCGCTCCTCCCGCGCTCCTCCCGCGCTCCTCCCGCGCTCCTCCCGCGCTCCTCCCGCGCTCCTCCCGCGCTCCTCCCGCGCTCCTCCCGCGCTCCTCCCGCGCTCCTCCCGCGCTCCTCCCGCGCTCCTCCCGCGCTCCTCCCGCGCTCCTCCCGCGCTCCTCCCGCGCTCCTCCCGCGCTCCTCCCGCGCTCCTCCCGCGCTCCTCCCGCGCTCCTCCCGCGCTCCTCCCGCGCTCCTCCCGCGCTCCTCCCGCGCTCCTCCCGCGCTCCTCCCGCGCTCCTCCCGCGCTCCTCCCGCGCTCCTCCCGCGCTCCTCCCGCGCTCCTCCCGCGCTCCTCCCGCGCTCCTCCCGCGCTCCTCCCGCGCTCCTCCCGCGCTCCTCCCGCGCTCCTCCCGCGCTCCTCCCGCGCTCCTCCCGCGCTCCTCCCGCGCTCCTCCCGCGCTCCTCCCGCGCTCCTCCCGCGCTCCTCCCGCGCTCCTCCCGCGCTCCTCCCGCGCTCCTCCCGCGCTCCTCCCGCGCTCCTCCCGCGCTCCTCCCGCGCTCCTCCCGCGCTCCTCCCGCGCTCCTCCCGCGCTCCTCCCGCGCTCCTCCCGCGCTCCTCCCGCGCTCCTCCCGCGCTCCTCCCGCGCTCCTCCCGCGCTCCTCCCGCGCTCCTCCCGCGCTCCTCCCGCGCTCCTCCCCGCTGCTCCTCCAGTCCAAGCGCATGCACTCCGAGGTGGTTCTTGAGGTGCCTCAGAACCCACCCTCCCCCTCCTCACACCCGGCAACCTCCCATATCCCCCTGTCCTCCTCGCCCCCTGCCAGTCCAAGCGCATGCCCTACGTTCTCTGGCGCCCCTGCCCGTGGGCCCCCCCGCAACGCACACATCGTGCCAGGGGCTGCCGCCGCCGCCGCTGCTGCTTTCGCTTCCGGCGGCCTTGGAGCCGCAGCAGCAGCAGCATCAGGGGCCGGGGCAGGGACAGGGGCGGATGGTGCTAGTGGTCCCAGTGGCGCTGGTGGAATGGGGAACGGGAACGGGAACGGGGGATCGTGGATCAGGCAGATGCAGAAGGCGTCGCAGCAGTCGATTGTGATCTCTGAGATTCTCGACTCGCGGACAAGATCCCTCGTGGCGGTGTCTAAGATCAGCGACTATGTGCTCTCCAACGAGCTTGTGTCCATGGCCCTGGCAATGGTACGTGGATGTGCATGGTCTGCGCATCAGGATTGATAGTAAGACTGCTCTTCCCCTTGCTCCCATGCTCTTCCATAAGCTCCCTCGTGGCGGTGTGTAAGATCAGCGACTATGTTCTCTCCAACGAGCTTGTCTCCATGGCTCTGGCAATGGTACGTGCATGGTTTGGGAATTTGCGACAATGGTACATGTGCATGGTTTGACAATCAGGGTCAATTGTAGGTCACTGCCGACAGTTGCACGCACTCCCTCGTTGTCGTGTCCAAAATTAGCGACTATGTGCTCTCCAACGAGCTCGTTTCCGTGATTCTCGCTAGGTAGGTGCATTCATTGGGCATCAGCGTTGATGGTAGGTGCATCGGCATCGATGATTGTCCCAATTTCCCAGCCAATCACAACCTCCATCACCCTCCATCACCCTCCATTACCCTCCACCACCCGAGTGCGCACCCTGTCGAGCCCTGAGTCGGCTGCATTTGATTTGACATGAAGCCCAAACGCGTTAGTCTTCAAAACCCCTGTGCCCACCAAACACGATTGTTCCATCCATCCCATGCGAGCAGGTGTCAGAGGATCGGGAGATCAACCGCGTGCAGGAGGAGCTCTTCTCAGAAGTTTGAGACATGCTAAACCTGCCAAACACGGCGCTCCCTCTACCCCTCTTCCCCTGTGCGTGCCAAACACGACGCTCTCGTGCGAGCAGGTGTCAGAGGATCGGGAGATCAACCGCGTGCTGGAAGAGCTCTTCTCAGAAGAGGTACGCCTCGCTCTGCCCCTCTGCCCCTCTGCCCCTCTCCCACTCTGCTTCTTTTGACGCCCCTTCCCCCTTGTCCCTGGGCTATTTTCATGGGGTGCCTTCATGCATACTTGAAAAGCTCTTTCCAAAAGAGGTTAGCTACCCGCTTTGCATTATCCCTTCCTCCTCTCTTCCCCTGCGCTTCCCATGTGTGCCACACCTCGCTCCATTCACCCGCGCGCTCCATCCTCCCCCCTCTTTCGTCTCGTTCGTATGCTGCTTGCTGAATCTCTTCAGCAGTGCTTTCCATGCCACACGTTAGGGTAATCCATGCGTGCATGCTATCCTCGCTCTGGTATACATGCATGCAGCCTACTGCATGCACCTGACCCTTCACCATCCATTCCAGTTCCCTTCATCCCATTCTCTGAATCCCCCTCCCTCATCCCATCCCACCAACCAGGGCAACGAGATGTACATTCGACCAGCGGAGCTGTATCTATACGAGGGGGAGGAGCTGAGATTCTTCGAGGTGATGGTGCCTTAGAGTCCACTCACAACTCCCATCCCACCCCTGATTCCATACCGCCCCTCATCCCGCCCCACCAACCAGGGCAACGAGATGTACATCCGACCAGCAGAGCTCTATTTATACGAGGGAGAGGAGCTGAGCTTCTTTCACTTCTGAGATTAATCAACTGCCTTCTGCGTTCTCTGAATTTCCCTCCCGTGTCCCACCAACCAGGGCAATGAGATGTACATTCGCCCGGCCGAGCTCTATTTATACGAGGGGGAGGAGCTGAGCTTCTTCGAGGTGATGGTGCGCGCGCGGCAGCGCCTGGAGATTGTGATTGGCTACCGCCTGGGCGGCGAGGAGGTGGCGGTGCTCAACCCGCCCAACAAGAGCGCCGCCCGGCAGTGGTCGCTCAGCGATGCCTTCATCGTGCTCTCTTTGGAGGAATGATAAACCACTGCCAAGAGATGGCTTTTGATGCGTCGAATCACACAAGGCAGCTCGAGTTCACCCACAAGTCAAGTCAAGTGACACGTTAACCGCCCAACAAGAGCGCCGCCCGGTCGCAGAGTGACGCCTTCATCGTTCTCTTTTTGGAGGAATGACTCCGAGGCGGCTATTACCAGTCAACCCACACACAAGTCAAGTTACAACAAGTCACAGGCACTGGCCTCTCAGAGACTCCTTCATCATGCTGTTGCTGGAGTGAACCGCGAGGTGGACTTCTGAGGCGCCTCACACACGAGTAGACTCACAGGTCGGCCACCCAACAAGAACGCTGCGCTCTACTGGTCTGTGGGTGACACATTGCTTGTGCTGCTGCTGGTGGAGTGACTAACAGCAGCACCCACCTGACTGTAGGTTGTAGCAGTCTTTGTATTTATGTTAAAGGGTTCAACTGCTGTAGTGTTTTCTAGGAAGCCCTGGGTGTATGGTTTGGTGGGTGGTGTTGGAAACAAGTGATTTAAGCGCCTCTGTCGCGTCGAAACACTAAGTCATAAACGAAGCGAAACACAGCGAAGCATCAGCAAGTCAACCCTCGGAGGTTGAGCAACTGCTGGAGGTTACGCGAAAGTCAAAGGTCAGCGACCTTTGACCTGACAAGTACAGCACGACAGCAAGGACAAACAGCTGACTCGTTATTGAGCAGTTGCCCGAGTCGTCACTGTATCGAACCGCAACAGCAATAGTAAAACGGTTATTAACTGTATCTCTTCGTATTCCTTGTACTCTTATAAAAGCTTGTATCTCTTTGTTTTAATTAATCTACCTTGCCCTCACATACCAGCGCAAGGTGGTTCACAGGCTTATCATTAAACGCTTCCGCTATTACATTGTTCCTACTCAGAGTTTAGTCCTGCAAAGATCCTAAGGGCTTTTCTCAGCCCAACATGGTATGAGAGCTATCAGGACAAACTCAACTACTATCAAGACACCCACAACATCAGAAGGCATGGCAACACAGAAGGAGAGAAGCTCCTCTAACGGCTCTCCCGGTACTACTCCTACTCCACCTCCTGCCTCTGGCCTACAGACAGAGGAGGGCACAGCAACAAGACCAGCAGCTGGATCCACCGAAACTCCCGCAAATCAAGCTGCGGGCTTCGACCCAAGCATGATGGAGAAGTTTTTCTCCTTCATGTCCTTCTACGAACAACACCAGCAAGGGGCACCTGCGCAGTCAAACAACAGCAACAACAACAACGATGTGACGCCGATGAGCCTCGATGGTTCATCCTACGCGCGAGGAAATCAGCAACAACCTACCTTCGCTCCGTACGAACCCCAGCGCGGCTCCGTCAGCTTCATACCGCGCCAGCAGCCTTCACCTGAGCAAGAGAAGACATTGGATGCACTTCAAGTTCAGTCGCAGTTTGCGCACGTCTTAAAACTGCAGACATCAAGACCGTTCAACGGAAAAGACTTCTTTACCTGGTCATTCGAATTCGAGCTAATGATGGAAGGCGCGCAGATTCTTGGCTTCTTCGACGGGTCCCTGCCATATCCAATGCACGGGACGCAATACGACAAGCAGCAGTACACATACCAGTCCATGATGGCGTACACAATCCTACTGCGCAACGTCACACCGAACCAGCAGCAGAACATTCGGTCTTACCGGGGATACGGGAATTCTGCCGAGCTTGCGTACAACCACCTGAAGAACCTGTATCAGGCAACAGACAGCGTCAATCGGAGTCGGTTAATGGCACAACTGACAACAGTGGAAATGAAACCGGGCAAAAAGGGGATGGCGTATATCAGTCGCTGCCGCGAATTGCGCGACAAACTCCTTCGATGCGGAGGATCGATATCGGAAGACGCCTTCGTCACAGTCATCATTGGCGGCCTTGGTCCTCATTGGCACTCCACCCGCGCCATACTCCGAGCTCACGGGAAGATCTCCGAAGCAGCACTCTGCGCTGAAATTCACGCTGAACAGCAAGACATGGATATGCAAGAAGAACGGCACAAGAAGAAGACGTCAGTACCCGAGTTTGCGTTTCACACTCAACGGCGCTACAACAACAATAACAATCGGCATTAACCAAAACCCGTACCTCCGTTCTGTCATCTCTGCAAGACTTCAGGGCACCCTCGCACACACTGCCCGAATCGACAGCAGTCAACACCGTCGCAACGCCAACTTCGTCCTTCAAGCAGTCAAGTGGCATCCACGCAAGCGCACCCCACGAGTCAACTGCAGTCCTCAACGACATCGTCAACACAATCTGCACAAGGAGCAAGAAACATCGTCAGCTGCATGGCAAGATTGACTGACTCCTGCATCACCGAGTCACCACCACACTACTCACCGGAAGAGCAACTCGACAACAGCACACCTCACCGCGAGTCACTTCAACCGAACCCAACGTATGCAGCCATCGCTCAAAGTGAACCGTCCGGGAAAGACACTTGGTTCCTGGATAGTTGCTGCGGACAGCATATGTGCTCTTCGGGTCGTTTCGTTCAACGCGAACACCAACTTCAGCGCGAAGTTGTCATCACCGTCGCCAACAATCAGAACCTGCGCACACGACGACAGGGCGTAGTGCAACTTCAGTCACGAGAGACAAACGTCATACTACAAATGTCAAAGGTTTTAATTGCGGAGGGACTCGGCTACAACTTACTGAGCGTCAGCCAGCTGATGACGAAAGGCATCCATCTCGAAGCAGACAGCACCACTCAGGAGTTCAAGCTGTACCACGGGAAAGGTGGACTCTACATCGGCAAGGCCGTGCTAAAGAACAACGTGTTCGTCCTCGACTTCGTTCCAGATTTAGGCACCGCCGACAGCGACGGAATCGTCACCTTCACCTCCTGGACGCACCCACCAGATCTTGATCCTGACTTTAGCCCCGAAGGCTTCTGGTATTCACATACTATTCCTGAGGCAGAACGAACAAGAGCATTAGCAACGATTCAACACTCGGCAGCAGCAGAGACAACATCGGCAGCAGCAGAGACAACATCGGCAGCAGCAGAGACAACATCGGCAGCAGCAGAGACAACATCAGCAGCAGTAGAGACAACACCGGCAGCAGCAGAGACAACACCGGCAGCAGCAGAGACAACACCGGCAGCAGCAGAGACAACATCGCCACCAATCACAGGACCTTCAACGGCACCGGTCTTCGTCGACAACACACCACCGACTTCTGCGCAACAGCTGAACCCAACTCCACGAGAAGTCCATCGAAGCGCAAACCACACCGCTGGGTTCTACTCCAACTCCGACTTGTACCGCCGCTCACCCGGACATCGCGCTGACGAAGATCTCTGGCATAAACGAATGGGACATCCGAGCAACACAACGTTAAACAACACGATACGAGCAGGCGTCCTTTACAAAGACTCACTGCTCTTACCCGACGGGAGAGAACTTCGACGAATGAGAGGAACCTGCTTCACCTGCCCAGAAGCTGACTTACCACATCAGCCCTTCGTTTCTCACCACAACCCGAGCGCACCAGCTTATGCACCACTTGAGAAAGTGTACAGCGACATCCTGTACAACCGCGAACCTGGACAAGGAGCATACAACTACACCATAACGTTCATCGACGCCGCCACTCGTTATGTCTGGCATCTCAACCTTCCAAGCCGCGACATGGCCCTCGAAGCATTCGTAGCCTAGCTCCCAGTAGCAGAACGGGAATCGGGAGTTAAGCTGAAGAGCTTTCAGTCTGACGGGGGAGGAGAATACACCTCACAGAGGTTCAAGCAGTACTTGGCAGAGAGAGGAATCAAGCGGCTCATCTCCCTTCCCTACGCCCATCAACAGCAGGGTGTAGCAGAAAGAATGAACAGGACCCTTCAGAACACCATGCGCAAGCTGCTACGTGGCATGCGGCTACCCAACCACCAGTGGCCCGAGGCAATGGACCACGCCGTGATGCTGCACAACTTGCTTTCATCATCATCGCTCCCGAACAACGCATCACCGCATCTGCTGTGGACAGGAAAACTGGGCAGCACAAAAATGTTGCGAAATTTCGGATGCATGGTACAGTACCGACCCCCAGCTGCACGCGCTGGCCGATTCTCCCAACGTGCACAGTGGGGACTACACCTGGGCATTGAAAAGAATTACAACGCGTGGAAGATTTTCGACGTCCACTCAAAAGAAACAGTGGCAGCACATGATGTCATTTTCTACGAGCGACTCACCCTTTCAACGTACCTGTATAACTTGGAGACTTCACGAGATGTCACAGGCGGATTTCGTGGGGACTGAGCCCTTGCTTCGGCAGAAGATGAAGCTGACCTGGACGAGCAGACCATGGACGGAGCTTCGGAAGAAGCCGGACCACTTCCCTACTGCTCGGTGGATATTCCAATGGACGATGACAACCCTCGCGAAAGCATCAACGCCGAAGTCTTCTACGACTTTGCCGACAACGGTTACGTTACACCCGCCCGAGTCGACACCAACGAAGCCGAACGCATAGGACCCAATTTCTTACCTGATCCAGAAGAAGGTGACAAAGCAGCTTATCCCGAGGATACAACACTTCCCCGCTACACACAGAGCGGACTCCAGATACTTGGCCTCGTCACCGCGGTCCACGGCACGGAGATCCCTAAGGAGCCTGCCACAGTTCAGCAGGCTCTGGGGGATAGGGAAAAATGGCGCGAAGCCATGGACAAGGAGCTGAAAGCACTGGAAGAACGGAACACCTGGAAAGTCGTTCCCATCGGCGTGGCACGTAACAAAACGGTACTCACCGGAAAATGGGTCTTCCGTGTGAAAACAAAGGCAGACGGCACCATCGACAAGTTTAAGGCGCGCTGGGTCGTGCGCGGCTTCGACCAAGAGCACAGACGTGATTTCACCGAGACGTTCGCCCCGGTCAGCCGACACACTTCACTTCGGATCCTTCTCGCGATCGCCGCCATGAAGAAGAAGAAGCTGCGGCAAATTGACGTCGCCAATGCATTTCTCTACGCACCTGTTGACGCCGAAATCTTCGTCGAACTCCCACACGGCTCCAACGGAGAGCCCAACCAAGTCTGTCAGCTGCTGAAGTCCCTGTACGGCATCAAACAGGCTCCAAGACTCTGGCAGCAGTATCTACACGCTCGACTCATCCGCATCGGATTCCGACAGCTACCACACGACCAGGGCATGTACCGGCTCACGAAAGGTGACGACTACATTCTCCTCATCGTCTACGTGGACGATTTGCTCTACATCGGCTCGACTGACAGCGTCACTACTTGGTTTGAAGGGGAGCTGCAGCAGGACCTCACTCTCACAGTATCATCAACCGTCACGCAATACCTCGGCCTCAACATCCAGGAAGAAGAAGGCGCAATCTATCTCAACGCCGCGAAATATGCCGACACTATCGCCAAACGCTTCGGACTCACCCCGACCACCATCTCCACGCCATACCGCTACACTACAGGAAATCACAAGGAAGGCTCCGCTCCGCTCAAGCCTTCAGGCATACGCGATTACCAAAGAAAGTTGGGGTGCCTCCTCTTCGCGGCCGTCACCTGCCGTCCGGATCTATCGTACTCAGCAAGTCAACTCGCCACCTACCTCAAAAAGTCCGAGGCAGAACACATGACGGAGCTCGACCGCGCTCTTCACTACCTCGCTAGCACTCCGACGATCGGCCTGACCTATCACAAGAATGGAACCTCGATACCTAAGTTAATCGGCTACGTCGACGCCGATCACGCTGGCGACTCCGACAACAGACGCTCGCGCACCGGCTACATCTATCGCCTCGAACCTATCGGACCTATCTCCTGGCAGTCGAGCAAGCAGGAGTTAATCGCCCTCTCCTCAGCTGAAGCAGAATATATCGCACTCTGCTCAGCCACCAAGGAAGGATTGTACCTTCGCGAACTCCTGGAGGAAGCGAAGCTGGCTCAGTTACCCAGCTTCTCTCTGTTCTGCGACAACCAGTCAGCAATTCGCATAGCCAACAAAAATGGATTCACGAACAGGACGAAGCACATCGCCCTGCGATATTTCTTCGTGAAGGACGAGATCGAGAAGGGGAGACTCGAGCTGTCTTACTGCCCCACGTCCGAGATGGCAGCTGATTACTTGACCAAGAAACTCGGAAAGCAGAAGTTCGAGTACTGTATGCTGCTGACTGGACAGAGCCACGTCACCAGCAGCGACACTCCAGAAGCGAAGGGGAGTGTTGGAAACAAGTGATTTAAGCGCCTCTGTCGCGTCGAAACACTAAGTCATAAACGAAGCGAAACACAGCGAAGCATCAGCGAGTCAACCCTCGGAGGTTGAGCAACTGCTGGAGGTTACGCGAAAGTCAAAGGTCAGCGACCTTTGACCTGACAAGTACAGCACGACAGCAAGGACAAACAGCTGACTCGTTATTGAGCAGTTGCCCGAGTCGTCACTGTATCGAACCGCAACAGCAATAGTAAAACGGTTATTAACTGTATCTCTTCGTATTCCTTGTACTCTTATAAAAGCTTGTATCTCTTTGTTTTAATTAATCTACTTTGCCCTCACATACCAGCGCAAGGTGGTTCACAGGCTTATCATTAAACGCTTCCGCTATTACATTGTTCCTACTCAGAGTTTAGTCCTGCAAAGATCCTAAGGGCTTTTCTCAGCCCAACAGGTGGGCTCCGTGCTGGGTTCTACTAGGTGATTGAAATGGACAGGTGGGCACCCAAGGCCTGCTCTACTTAGCACAGTATGTCCGGTGGTTCTTCTTTTATAGTATCCTTTTCTTTTCCAGGCAGGCAGGTATCCTCGCCTTGTAGAACGCTGCGATCTGCCACGGGAGTGGCGGGAATGAGAGGGAAGGAATGGGTTAGGGGTATGGGTGGGTGGGAGTACACCCATATGACCATCCCATCACATCTTGTTTCTTTCACATGATTGGAGATTTGTAACTATTTGAAAGGATTGTGACAAGCATTCAATGGAAGCCATGGTGTTTGTATTGCTAGAATTTATGTAGTATCAAAATCTTGCTATTCATTATCCAATTCGCGTATGCGATCTTCGTTACAACGCATACCGCAATGGGAAAAGATCATACAGGGGCCGAACAGTGCCAGAGGGGTGATCAACCAGGGGCCGAGAGGCCCGAAAATTACCAAACCGCTGCGCAAGGAGGGATTAACATAAGGTCTTCGTTTATTGCACATTATTCTGTTACTAGTGGCATGTACCGGCTCGCATTTTCGCTCGCGTGTCGTTTAGCGAGCCAACTCTACCGAAAACTCTAGGGCAGCCAGAAAAAAACTAAAACCTATAGGGAACCTAGATGCAATTTCGGGATGGATCAACCCTAAAAAAGGGGACCTCCCTGATATTTAGGGTTGATGCCTCCCGAGACGCATCCGTTTCCGAATATTTTGTTTTCTTGTGCATTTCCGATCGGGTAGGTGATATGTATCACCCAGAATATATTATGTTGTTACGTAATCACGATTTGACACGCCGAATTTTAATTCCAGAAGAAGGCGACGCGCGCGTTGTAGTAGACGGCGGTCAAAACCCTCAATAAAACAAATGAACACAAAATTCGGTTTGTTTTAGCAATTTCCTTTTACTCATGGTTCGGCTTGTTCGCCGAGTCATTTGGTCAGCTCCGGGTTGAAATCCTACGGTCGAGATTTACCGGCCCTACTTCGATCACCCCTCTGGCACTGTTCGGCCCCAATATGATATTTTCCCTACCGCAATGATATTGCGTTTACCTCAGCCCTTTCACCGACAGGAATGCCTCCTGAAGGCAAATTCCGCCATGTATGATGGGTTCGTGATAGCAATTATTCGGAGATAGATAGGCAAGCATGTTACCGTATTTCGGGGTTATCAAGTAGTTGATCGTCCATGTAATCGTGGTAGGACAGATCGAAAGTGGACGAGCAAGCACGTCATTTTGTTCGCCAAACTGCGGCCTAAAAGTACTTAGTCCTTTTATCGTTTGGGTGCTGTACTTAGTCCTTTGATTCTCGTTTGGAGCCCTGTGGTCTTCTTGATTCTCTCGTCTCGATTTTTCCCTCTCCGCGTTGCAGTGTTTGGCGGTGTGTTTGCGTCCCTGCGCCCTTTGTCGTCTGGAGTAAATAATATCGCAGTCAACAGGAGGGCTCCAAAGGCGGAGTGGCAGGCAGCTCATGCACGTGTGGCCTTGCATGTTGCGTGCTGGCGTTTGCTCTTGCCCCTCTGTACCACCCCTACCTCAGAGACCCAGAACAGTGGTCGTATGGAGCAGATCATCTCGCAGCCCACCAGGAGGGCGCAGGGGACGCGCGACGGGCAGTGTGAGCGGGGGGAGGGCGCAGCAGCAGTGGAAGGGCAGTCAAACGAGGTGGAGGTGCTGAGGCGGATGGTGGAGAGGAACCCCGACGCCATCCGCTTCCAGCTCGAAGTTGACATTGGCAAAGGTATGCTTTGTCAATGTGCTAATTCTAATCCCCAAATGGTTTTCCTTGATCCCCAAATGGTTTTCCTTGATCTCCGACTGCTGTTTCCAATCTCAAATTGGTGTTTCTGGTTTCCTAGGAATAGTAGTTTTGATTACCCAAGCGTTGTTTCCGATCCCAAACCGCTGTTTCGAATTCCCAAGTTAATTTTCCTGGTTCCCGAATGGGTTTTTTATTCTTTAACGTTTTATCTATTCCTTATGCGGCGTTTCTGATCCCCGGGCGATATTTCTGATTCCCAAGTATTTGTTACAATCCCAAAGCGGTATTTTGTGATCCCGAAGAATTGTTCCCAATCCTCGAGCATTTTGAGGCTCAGGCGGTGATCCCCAAGCGCTGTTTCTGATCCCCAAGTGCTGTTTCTATTTCCCAGACGCTCTTATCCATCCCCAAACGCTGTCTGTGATCCCCATGTGATGTCACTCGTTCCCTGAGTGGTAACGTGCTGTTTCCTGTTCCCTTTGTTGATTTTCCAATTCCCTGTGCAATACCTTCCTCCACACTCTCAACGCAGTGCGGATAAGGACATTGGAAGAGCAGGTGCAAGCATGTATTAGTGAGGCGAACAAGCTGTTGGCATTGGAGCATCTGAACAAAGCGCTGAGGGAAGAGCTGCAGGAGGCGCTTGATAAGCTTGAGATGCAGAGGGGCCAAGGCGAGGTGCTGCAGAGGGAAAAGGAGGAGCTTCGGGTGAAATGTGTTCGAATGGAGGAACAGGTGAGGGCGGATGAAGGGGGGGCATGTGGGTTGGGTTGGGGATGAGATGAGGAATATGCAATGAGGAATACAGTGGAGTTCCCTACATCACGCCCTCCAAGTGCTTTTCTCCTGTGGGGATGCAGGCGCAGGTGCAGTGTGGAGTGGCAGAGGCCAAGGTTGGTATGCTGCTGCAGCAGGTGGCAGCCTCTCAGCAGGCAGAGCTGGCTCTCAAGATGCAAGCTGTGGAGCAGGACGGAGAGAGAGCTGCTCTTGCACGGGAGTTGAGCGCATGCCAAGCAGCGCAGGCTAGAAGTGCCGCTGAAATTGAAAGAATCGTCGCTGAGAGGGACAGATTTGCTGGAGAAGCAGCACAGTTGCGCGTAGAGCGGGTGTTGATGCAAAAGCAGATGGAGGCTCTGGTGGGGGAGAAGGCACGGGCTGAGGAACGGGCAGCAGATGCAACAGCTGCTGGGAGAGAGGAGGAGAGGGAGCTGGAAGGGCAGAGAACGGCGTTGGAAGAGACAGTGGAGGAGATGAAGAGAATGGAGGTGGAGATGGAAAATGTTGGAAAGGAGAACGAGGGGGTGTTGGAAGAGCAGAGGAGGGCGCCGGAGGAGGCGATTGACGGGATGAAAGAGGTGGAGATGAAAGAGGTGGAGAGACAAGGGTTGGAGCTGCTGTGGGCTGCAGTGGAGCAAGGTGCAGGGAACAGTGGAGCTGAGGGTGACGGTGCTGTGGCACCAAACGTGGGAGGTGGCGGTGATGATGGTGTGGAGACGTGTCACCAATTCAAGATGCCGTACGCCTTTGGTGGCACATACCTTACTGTAACATGGGACGTGGCGATGACTTTAAATCGAGGACAATGGTTGGCTGGAGCTGTTATTGAGTGGTTCGGCTTGTAAGTATTGATGCGTGAACAGCAGTAGTGTTGTTTCACTGCGTCCTAATAATTACGTCACGGAAGATTTCCCGTCCAATTGCAGGATGCTACAGTACGAGCACACCGACGACAACCCGTGGTGGCTGTACGCCGGAACACATTTCTATGACTCGATCTTGAGCCACCGAGACGGTGCTTCGCATGATCACGCTTTTGGCGAGAACGTGTTGCTGTTCCATTTTGTGCTTGCTCCCTTGAAGCTACAGTGAGTGCCAAGCCCGTAGGTGTTTTGTTGACCGGCTGTGTGGTCGTCATGCTCATGCCTTCGTGGCTCGCTGATTCACACAGAAATGATTGGAGTCTAGCGGTGATCGAGAACTTTGACGTCGAAGGTGACGGCCTGCCCCGACCAAGCCGCTTGTGGCACGCTGATCCAACAGGTCAGCACGTGGATTGGGAGGAGCCGCTAAAGGAGTAAGTGGCGTCCGTGGTCGCTTTGTCTCCTGTGCTGTGTGTGTGGTGTCTCCGTTCTCACTATGACGGATGTGAATGGGCCTGACTTTATGTTCAGGTATCTAGGGCAACAGCTACATTCTGCAAGACCCGGAGTGACACAAGAGGAGGCTCAATCGTGGTCAAGGAGCATAACCGCACATCGAGTGGATGTATGGAATTTGACCAGTCCACTAATTCTTCACCTAGCGTTAGTCCACTGCACGTTGCTCTTTTTTCTAACCCCGTTTTCATCCACTGATGTGCAGGCTACCGAGCAAATCAACGGCCACGATTCTGGCGTGTACTGCATGTTGTACATGCAGGTTCTGGTAGAGTCCAACTTTGAAGACTTGACTCAAATCGCTCTCTTTGGGTCACCGGTGCAGTGGCGCGATGAGATTAGGGATGACCTTTTTGAATGGTCTGAGTTTTACATTTCGCAAGGGGGGTTAGTGGAGGTGGAGGTGGAGGGAGAGGAGGACGGGGAAGGGGAGGGAGGGGAGGGGGAGGAGGGGGGGGGGATGATGGGGAACGGGAGGAAGGGGGAGGGGAGCAGGGCCTATCTTTCGAAGGTAAAATCCACTGATTACACTTACCAGCGGGTGTTTTTTGGGGGTTTCTATCTTGTAGCCTACTTTGTTACTCTTTTTGCAAAAGTGTTTGACATACGGTACCGTACAAAGTCGGGTGAAATTGCCAGTGTGCTTTGGTTTTAGCCTCCCCACAGTTCCAATACCTCTCCCAGCCTCATTCCCCCCGTTCCCTTCAACTCTTCCAGCCCCACTTCCCCCGTCTCCTTCAGCTCTCCCAGGCCCACTCCCCTCTTCTTTTTCGCTCGTGTTGTGGGGACCAGGGTCTTGCAGCAAGCTAACAAAACGAATCCAAGGGCGTACAACATTGCCAATGAACATTGAATACCGTTCGTGCATCTGTTGCCTTTGGAGCTCGCTACACCACACAATAATACTCCCACCCCTGAAGGTAACGTCATTACGAGCTAAAACAGAAAAATGAACCTCCACTCATGCAGCCACGCAAACCCCCTGTGCCGCAACAACACCAAGTGCCCTCCTGCCATTCGACTCATCAGCAGGCATGGCATCGGGGAAAGCACCTATGTCATGCGCGTCCGCCACCGCTGCGGAGGCCACCTGCCTCACGCAACCACTTGAACCCCATGTGCTGCAGCAACACCACGTGTGCTGCCATTCGTCTCAGCAGGCACGGTATCAGGGAAAGCACCAATGTCATGCGCATCGGGCACCGCTGCAAAGGAGGCGTCCAGCCCCACTGAGAAGAGCGATGGGTCGCTGGCCGCTGCATCCTCGTGGAACGCTGCTATCTGCCATGGGGGCAAAGCCAAGGGAGCCAAGCCAAGGGAGTGGTGGGAATGAGTGGGGAGAAGGGATGCATGGGTTAGGGGATGTAATGAGTCGGGGTGGGTGTAACAAACTGCGTGCTGTCTAGAACTAGGGTAAGGAGGTGAGGTCACAGATCAACATTGCTCTTCTCACACTTGCTCTTTTCACTTGCTCTGCTCACACTTGCTCTGCTCACACTTGCTCTGCTCACACTTGCTCTTTTCACTTGCTCTGCTCACACTTGCTCTGCTCACACTTGCTCTGCTCACACTTGCTCTTTTCACTTGCTCTGCTCACACTTGCTCTGCTCACACTTGCTCTTTTCACTTGCTCTGCTCACACTTGCTCTGCTCACACTTGCTCTGCTCACACTTACTCTGCTCACACTTGCTCTGCTCACACTTTCTCTTCTCACACTTACTCTTCTCACACTTTCTCTTCTCACACTTACTCTTCTCACACTTTCTCTTCTCACACTTTCTCTTCTCACACTTACTCTTCTCACACTTTCTCTTCTCACACTTACTCTTCTCACTCTCACCATGGGACTACCCCCACCATCCCCATCCCCACACGCATGCAAGAATGGGGTATCCCCCACCATCCCCTGGGTACCAGCCCAGCCCCCATCCCCTTCCACAGCACCTCATCAGCCTCAGCAGGACCAGCCCTTCCCCTGCCCCTCTCCCCACCCTTCACCTTATCGGCCATGCGAGCCCACTGTGAGCAGCGGCCTGCACGGAGGGGGCGAGTATCCATCGCCACACAGCCCCACCCGCGAGCAGAGTGGACAAGCCCCCCCTAGTAGCACCTTACAGGCCACAGCACGACCAGCCCCCCTCCCGTCCCCCCTTCCCCCCCTGCCCGCACCTTGTCAGCCATGGCCAGCCCGCTGACAGCAGCAGCCTGCACGGAGGGGGCGAGCAGCCAATCACCACACAGCCCCACGCGCGAGCAGCAGACCGGCACCCCTCAATAACACCTTACTTACAGACCACAGCTGGACCAGCCCCCCTCTTCTTTTCCCCACCTTATCAGCCATGGCGAGCCCGCTGACAGCAGCAGCCTGCACGGAGGGCGCGAGCAGCCAGTCGCCACACAGCCCCACGCGAGTGGAGGCGTCCATTATGCAATCCACGCCGCCGCCTGCTGCTGTTGTCGGCGCGTTCAGTGGCAGCGCCGCCCCCCTGGAGGGTGCGGGTAAAAATGGGTGCAGTGCAGGGCAAAGGGGCAGTCAGCACAGCCCCACGCGAGTAGAGGCGTCCATTATGCACTCCACACCGCCGCCTGCTGCTGTTGTCGGCGCGTTCAGTGGCAGTGCCGCTCCCCTGTATGGGGTGGGATGGGTGGGGTGAAATGGGGTGAGATGGGGTGGAGATGGGTTGAAAGAGCGTGCAGCACTAGGCAAAGCGCCAGTCGCCACACAGCCCCACGCGAGTAGAGGCGTCCATTATGCACTCCACGCCGCCCCCTGTTGCTGTTGTTGGGGCGTTCAGAGGGAGAGCCGCACCCCTGGAGGGCGGAGATTGAATTGGGATCAGACGGGGAGGGATGGGATGGGGATGAGTTGAAATGGGTTGCAGTGCAAGGCAAAGGGGCAGTCAGCACAGCCCCACACGCAGGGCGTCCATTATGCTCTCCATCACACCGCCCCCTACTGCTGTGCGCGGAGCGTTCAGTTTTGAGGCGCCTCAAAACTAGACTCTCCACACCGCCCCCTGCTGCTGTGCGCGGAGCTTTCAGAGGGAGTGCCGTGCCGCTCCCCTGGAGGGCGGAGACTGAAGTGAGGTGGGGAGGGGTGGAATGGGATGGGATGGGATGAAAGCACAGCACGTGAGAGCAGCACAGCACGTGAGAGCAGCACAGCACGTGAGAGCAGCACAGCACGTAGCACAGCACGTGAGAGCACATGAAAGCACCCAGCAGCACATGAGAGCAGCACACAGCACACCCACCAGAGCTGGATCTTGTGGAAGAGCACTGGAGGCAACGAGTCCTTGGGGCGGCCAAGCGTGGCAACTATTGAGTCAACTAGTCACTTCAGGTTGTGAGAGCACATGAAAGCACCCACCAGCTCATTAAAGGCATGCCACATCCCACCCACCAGAGCTGGATCTTGTGGAAGAGCACTGGAGGCAGCGAGTCCTTGGGCCGGCCTAGCGAGGCGACTTTTGAGTCAGCTCAGTATTCGCTTCAGCTCGTGAGAACAGCACACACAGCACAGCACAGCACAGCACAGCAGACCCACCAGAGCTGGATCTTGTGGAAGAGAACAGCAGGCAGCGAGTCCTTGGGTCGCCCGAGTGCCGCCGCCACGCCCTCCAGCATCTCCTCCTTCACCCGCGCTGCCCTGGCCAGAGGGATGTTTTCCTGCTTGTGACAGTAGCGAGGGGTGGGGAAGGAGGGCAATCAATGAGAGTGGACATGGGCATGGGCATGGTTGCTAGGGTTCTTTTATGAATCTTGGTATTGTGTAGTCTAGCGGCATTCAGATGTTCTGGGGTCGGCCTAGTGCCGCTGCCACGCCCTCCAGCATCTCCTCCTTCACCCGCGCTGCCCTGGCCAGAGGGATGTTCTCCTGGTGGTGGAAGGAGGGAAATTTATGAGGAATGTGAATGGAGTGACAGCTGCTAAGGGTAGTAACGGAATCCAGACGTCCATGTTTTGCGAGAACGCTGCTGCCATGCTCTCCTGCATCTCCTGCTTTACCCTCGCTGCCCTCACCAAAGGGATGTTCTCCTGGTTGTGACAGTAACGAGGGGTGGGCATGCATGGAGAGATCACGGGAAAGGGTGGAGATGGAGTGACAGAGTAACGGTCAATTTAGAGTCAACTCGAAAGTGATGGATATAAACTGCCACGGCACCCCGGTATTTGACAAGGGTTTTACGATGTGGTGCTCCCAATGCGAGAACGGCTTACATACCACCGCCTGTTTCCCAATTATGAGACCTTTGTGCTCTAAAAAATGCCCCTAACAACCCACCTGGGGCACTTTGTTGCGCTTGCCATACGCCGCACTGCTGAGCACCGTCCAACACTCCACGCCCTCTTCACCCCTCCGCACCGCACCCGATCCCTCCCCGCCGTCCCCTCTCCCCGAGCCGCCCCCCTCCGCCAGCTTGGCGGTGTTGTTGCACATCCACGCGACAGCTGGCACGCCCTCCACGAAGGCGGCATCGAAGCGCCCACGTGGCGCGCTGCCATTGGCCAGCAGAGGCGACTCGAAGGCGATGATCGACGCCCAGATGGAGCTCAGCTCAAGGCGCTGAGGTGGTGAAGAGGGGAGGGGGTTGGAGAGGAAGGCGGGGGTTGGAAGATATCAGAAGGGGGAGAGGATGTAGGCGGTCTCGAATGCAATGAGGGGCGAACAGATGGATCTCAGGAAGGCGCTGGGGGATGGGTTGTGGTAGAAGTGTGGTCAGAGCACTGTGGGGTTGCAGGATTGAAGTGAACAGAGCCTGGCAGGGGGGAGGTGGCTTTCCAGTGCTTTCAACACTGTGTTACGTTGGAATGAAAGACTGTGGGATTGAAAGATTGGTTGGAGGGCGACAATTAATTCCAAGATTGAGGGCAGATGGGGGCATTGTCCGAGGGATACATGAGTTTTGAGCGGACTTGAAGGATTATGGCACGGAACAAGGTGGGATACGCGGATAAGAGAGGGTGGTATGGTAACACATCGAGCTGGGAGATGTGGTTGGAGTGTGAGAGGTGAGCGGGCCTGGGGTGGAGGGAAAGGCAGGTGGGAGAGAGGAGTGGCGCGTGGAGAAACAGGAGGGGCTGTTTCAATGGTGCTGCCGAAGCATCGGTGAAATGGCGGGCCATGGGATGGGAGAGAAAAGGTGAACGGATGGAGAGAGACATGGCACGTGCCGTCTTCTCTGAGTGAGCTAGCCTCCTCCCAGGGCGCTGCACATTACTTAGAGACATGTGAGTGATGCAGTGATGCGCTAGCTATGTCTTTTAAGTTAGAACATGTACCCTGACTGACACATCGACTCCACTGCCCTCCACAGCGACTGCCACACAACCAGCAGCCGCCTCACAGGCCATGCCCCCCCTCCCCCCCCCCCCCACCCCCCCCCCCCCACACACACACACACCCACGCACGCACGCACGCACGCACGCACGCACGCACGCACGCACACACACACACACACACACACACACACACACACACACACACACACACACCCACGCACGCACGCACGCACGCACGCACGCACGAACACACACACACACACACACACACACACACACACACACACACACACACACACACACACACACACACAGACATGCCCCTCCCCTCCCCTCTCTTCATCCAACATCCCCCTGCCTCTTCACCGTCCTTCAAACCGCACCGCTCCCTCTCCTTGCACCCACCTTCATTTCACCGTCCTTTCATACCACACTGCTCCCCCTCCTCTGCCCTTGCACCCACCTTCATTTGTCGCGCAATCTTTGGGATGCCCGCGGGAGCGAGGAGACGGTTGGCGCACTTTCCTGGAAGGAGCAGCAGCAATGATGCCGTCGAGCAATCAGGAGTGGTGAAGAGTGGTGAAGAGTGGTGAAGAGAGGCATTACGGGGAAGGTAGAGGGCCTTGGTTTCCTCTATATGAATGATGAATACACATAGAGGAAAGCAGGTACACACATGAAGACACACGAGACCAAGCAGCCATGCACGCACCTTCACAGGCTTACATCAACATCTAAACCCATGCGTTCATGAACGCACGCACGCACACACACACACACACACACACACACACACACACACACACACACTCACACACACACTCACACACACACTCACACACACACACTCACACACACACTCACACACACACACTCACACACACACACTCACACACACACACACACACTCCCACCCACCGTTGTGTGCGATGACAACGAAGTCAAACTCCCCTGCCTTGCGCCCTGTCTCCTCCACCACCCACTTGCCTCCCCTCGCCCTCATCTTCCCTATCCACATCGGCCGCTCCACCCCCACCACGCCCTCCCTCACCTGTGGTCAGGGTGGCAGAGGGGGTGGGTGACGGGTGGGAGAGGGGAGCGGATATACAGTGCAAGGAGAGTGATTAATTACGCCTCGCCCTCATCTTCCCTATCCACACACCGGCCGCTCCACCCTCACCACGCCCTCTCTCACCTGTGCTTTGGGGGGTGACAGGGGGGTTAGGGAGGGAAGATGGGATATACGGTGCAAGGAGGATGATCAGAAACGCCTCGCCTGCATCTTGTCTCATCTTCCCACACCGGCCGCTCCACCCCCACCACGCCCTCCCTCATCTGATGGCAGGGTGGCAGAGGGGGAGGTGACGGGTGGGAGAGGGGAGGGGATACACAGTGCAAAGGAGAGTGATCAAATAAGCCTCGCCCTCATCTTCCCTATCCACACCGGCCGCTCCACCCCCACCACGCCCTCCCGTACCTGTGGTCAAGGGGTGGAGTGGAGGACGGGATTATGGGGAAGGGAGGGTGGTGCTGGTGCGGGGAGATGAATGTAGAGCGGGGAGATAAATGTAGAGCGGGGAGATAAATGTAGAGCGGGGAGATAAATGTAGAGCGGGGAGATAAATGTAGAGCGGGGAGATAAATGTAGAGCGAGGAGGGTGGTCCAATGAGCCCTCATCTTCCCTACCCACAACGACCGCTCCACCCCCACCACACCCTCCCTCACCCGTACGCAGGGAGGATTTCGGGAGGAGAGCAGAGAGGAAGGGAAGGGGCGATCGGGGAGTGTGATGGGGGGAGTGGGGGAGGGGGGGGGAATACAGAGCGAGGAGGGTGGACCATGGTGGAAGTTGGAACCATGCCGTCGGTCTCACAACCCTTATTTGCAACCAAGAGTCAATATTGAAAGTTCAAAGTGGAAGGTAAGTACATGGCTGAACGCACACACCTTATCCGCAATCACATGTTCGCAAAACGCCCGCATCCCATTGGGGCTAACGAGCCTCCGTGCCTCTCCACCGCCACCGCTGCTACCACTTGGCAGCTCTGAGAACGCCCCTCCTGCCTGTAGCGTAGCGATGCGCCCTTCCTCCCACACCCGCAGGGCGCCTTCCTTGAGCCACCTGGTGGTGTGCGGTGGAGTGCGGTGGAACGAGTGAGGTGATGCGGTGAAGCCATCACATGCAGGACAGCAACAACAAGGTCATAGCGGCACGTGCGCAGCAGCGGAGAACAAAAGTTCGGCTGGAGACTGCCAGCAGCCCATCCGCCAACCTTGGCTTGGAACCACAGCTGCCCATTTTGGAGGCTGCTGACCTGTCAACAGATGACTGGATGGAAGAACGGTTGGAGACTGCCCACCTGTCGACGTGTGATTGGAAGCGAGAATCTGTGACGGTGAAGAACTGCACTGCGTGGTCAAACAGGCGCAGCTTCCCAGCAACTTCCACCTCCCGAGTGGCCATCCGCCCGCCCGCCCAACCCGTGCTTGCCCTGCCGCAAGGAGAGCAGACAGGGCGAGGAGAGGGAGAAGGTGGGAGAGAGAGGGGCGAGGAGAGGGATGGGTGAGGGGGCTTTTGAGGCGCGTCAAAGTTCTCCCGAGTGGCCATCCGCCCGCCCAACCCGTGCTTGCCCTGCCGCGCAAGGAGAGCAGACAGGGCGAGAGGAGGGAGGGCGTGGGAGAGGCAGGAGGAACGGGGTTGATATGGAAAGGGAGCAAGGTAAGGGGGCGGGAGGGCGGGTGGGCGGGAGAGATGGAGAGGGGAGGGGCGGAAGAGGCAGGCGTCACGGCGGAATGAGCACACCCGTTTTCCCCTCACCATGGGACCTTCTCAATGCGAAGCGACCTTCATTCAGCCCTTGGAAAAAGCCCCTGCGGCCGCTCCACGCGGCTCTTCTCCCACGCATCGTGCTGCTCGGCTGATCCCCTCATGAGACCCTACTAACCATTTACTGAGCCCCTACTAAGCCCCTACTAAACCCCCTTAAAACCTCTACTAACACCCTTCAAAGCTCCTCCCTACAGTGTCAAACACGGTACTGCAAATCCCGCGTTCCGCCAGCCCCAGCTTGCACATCATCCCCTGCTAAGCTTCTCCTGAACCCCTATTAAACCCCCCGCAAAATCCCATACAGTGTCGAACACGGTGCTACGGATGCCGCGTTCCGCCAGCCCCAGCGCTCTTGACCTCCTGTTCAGCCCCTCCTGAACCGCTACTAAACCCCCTGCAATCCCCCCCCCTACAGTATCAAACACGGTGCTACTGATGCCGCATTCCGCTAGCCCCCGCGCGCACATCAGCCCCTCTAAGCACCTCTAAACCGCTGCTAAGCCCCTCCTGAACCGCTACTAACCCCCTACAAAACCCCGCCATACAGTGTCGAAGACCGTGCTGCGGATGCCGCGCTCCGCCAGGCCCAGCGCGCACATCAGCCCCGCCATCCCGCCGCCCAGAATCGCCACGTGCGGGTCGCGGCTCATTGGCTCCGGGAATTCCGCGCGCTCCAGCACCACGTGGCTGCGCTTCTGCCGCTCGCGCCTTCCGCTTCCGCCGCCCTCGCGCGCTTCCCCTTCCGCTCCCGCGCCATCATCGTTCTCCCCCGCCTGCTGCGCGTCTCCGCTTGCCCTCCCGCGCGCGGGCTTACCGCCGCTCCGCCTATTCTTCCCCCCTGAGGGTCTGCTCTCACTCTGCCCGCCCTTCTCCGCGATCCGTCGAGCAGCACCAGAAACCGCGCTGTCGCTGCTGCTGCTGCCACCCGTGCGGCTCCACTGCTTCGCGAACGAACTCGGCTTCTCGCCCTCGCCGGCAGCCGCGCATCGTACGGACGAGCGCGATCCGCGGACTAATCTGAACGGTAGATTCCTTTCGGCACGAACCGATCCGTCGCCAAGTAACTCACCTAGATGCTTGCTAACGACAATTTCTCGAGGTATCAGGCTTGGTCTTATGTGGGCACTGATAGATTTCTGAGAGGGGATTTGGAGAAACGGCGTGCGAAGGGAGGAGCACGACTGGAGCAATGTAGCGGCAGCCATGACAACTAGGCTTGCCGCCAAGCTTGAGAAGCGGCGCGATTTGACTAAGCAGTCCTTGATAATCCTCCAAAAATCTCGACACTATGTACAACTATGATGGAAGGGGCGTTACTCGGACTGCTAAAAACATCGCCGCCACTCCACTTTGGCTTGATGTATGCAACTAAGTCGCAGCGGTGAGGCTGTGGGATCATGCGTATCACACTAGTCTGTCCTTGCTTTCGGGTAACAAACGCGAACCCCACACCACTCGCAAGCTCTCGCAATCAATCTCGGCAACCATTGGTTTTGCGGGTCATATCTCTTGGGTTTGAAGTGTTACAGTATTGTTTTCTACTGGTTGTGTTATTGCACGTGTAGCCACTTATGGTCAGAGTATATGACGGAAAAAAATGATTCAATTATATTATAAGTGGAGAGAAGCTGCGAAATCATATTTCTGTTCAAATGCCTCCATAGGGGTACCCTCACAGACTTCAATGACTATTTATTGTGTTTAGAAACTGTAGCTGTGTAAGAGCTGAACACTATTATGGTATAACGAATTATACAGGAAACTTTTATTGAGTTGGCAGTGTCATGGCGCAGCCGCTTTCGCGTGGCAACACCTTCGGCCTTCCTACTCACCCTCGCCTTCCTCTCAGCCCACACCTTCTAAACTCCTTCCCGTCTCCCTTCACGCGCTCTGTTCCGCATACTTTTATTTTTAAAAGCCCGCTGTAGGCGTAGATAAAAGGTCGATCCCGCTCGATTCCTTTACGCAATAGTCAGACAGATCGACCTTTTTTGTTCTCTAAGTGTACTTCGTCACTGTTAGTAGAACTCTGAATTTTAAGAGAGCCGTCACTGCACTATCTCTTTCACGAACTCCAAGAAATGAGCGACCTCATCCCAACAGAGCCAGCTGGCCACAGCGCGCGAGTGTGCGTGGAGGTACTGTCAGCGCGCGGCCTCCGCAACAAGCGGCGGAAGCTCCCCTTCGCGCGCATGAGCCCCTGCGCGCTCGTCTCCCTCCCCGCTGCTGGAAAGCTTTGCCGCCTGCTGTCAACGGCGGACGAAACCCTACCTGGGGCGGCGGGCCGCGATTTAGGGCGGAATTTGCGGTGGATGACCTGCTTCCCTGCTTAGAATCGTCTCCGCAGCAGCCATCCGCCTCTTCCTTTCCTTTCGAGTCCCCCTTTCCCGCTTCTCCCTTGTCCTCCGCTTCCGCCGATTACAAATCTACTGCCTCAACGTTTCCTTCCCCCGCCTCCTCTGCCGCCGCATCATCCTCCCCTCCCGCGGCACTTCCCCCTTACGCGCGCGCGCAAGTGCGCGTGGAGCTCTTCAGCTCCGTCGCCCTGCGCAAGTCGCTTGGCGCGGCGACCGTGGCGCTGGACGCGGCGCTCCGCCGACCGGGGGAGTGGCAGTGCGCGGAGCTGCCAGTGATGCGCGCGAGGCGCAAAAGGGGAGACAAGCGCGCGAAACAGAGCGGATGGGTGACGGTGCGGGTGAGGGTTGGGGGAGTTGTGGAGGGGGGAAGGGCGGAGGGAGGAGCACCATGCTGGCAGCCGCCGCATCGTTCTACGCCCATACATTGACTGAGGACGGTGCTGACGTGGACAGTGCTGACGTGGACGGTGCAAGAAGAGAGGGCGCAGCTGCGGTACCAATCAGGGCGCAAGAGCACTTAGAGGCTACACAGTTACCATCATCCCAGAGCTGTCAAACCGCTGCTCATCCATCTCCACCGCCTCCAACACCTCCACCACCGCCTGTTACTGGTTACCCTGCCCCACCCCCTTATAGTCACACTGTGCCACCTTACTACCCGCCTCCCCAGTATCCCCTGTCCAATCCGGGACCATATGTTCAATCAGCCAGCAGCACTCACCCATACACAGCCTATGCAGGGCCGACCAATCCCCCTGCACCATGGTACCCCTCGTTACAAGCAACCCCAGTGACAGTGTACAAGCACAGCAAGCACGGGCATAAGAGGAGGGCCCCTGGCAGGGCGGGGCTGGGCGCAGGATTGGCGCTGGGGGCACTGGGTGGGCTGTTGTTGGGGGATGCCATTGGGGATGGGCTGGGGGATGCTGGAGGATTTGATTTTGGAGGATTTGGTGATTTTGGCTTCTGATTTGATAGAAGTGTAGCTTTAGCTTCTCTGGTGTAGCGATTGTACAGTGCGTTTGTACAGGAAATCGTACATATGGCTAGTAGATATTTAAAATTGTGTGCAGTTTTATTTGATGGCTGTGTGGGCAAGAAAATAAAAAGAGCGCTAACTTGGTTAGCCTTGTGAAGTAACGCTAAATAACACCATTAGTTGTGGGAGTGCGCACAATTGTTACTGAGGATATGCACAATTCTCCACTTGCACAAGTTCCAGTTTGCGTTCCCAACAGAGATTCTCATCACCCAGCAATGCCGAGCCGCTTCTTGAAGGATAGAGACGCAAGCGGTCCCGGGACCGTAGCACGCGCAATGATCGCCACGCGCACCTCGTTTCGTTCGTCTCACGATGTGAATTCTATCCATCCGTTGCGTCGAGAGCCGTTCGCGCGACATTGTAATGGCAACTTGCTCGCACGTGAGCGTCGCAGGACAGATCGCCGTCGCCGCGGGTTGTCGCACGCGCGCCATATTTCGCCTTAGAAAGCAGTCGCGCGTCGCACTGGGTTCGCGCTCCCGGCTCTTTCGCAATGGACAGCGCCGGGGTCGTGCGCCGAGCCTCCTCTTCTTCCGCGCGCGTGCATTCCCCTCTCCGCACGAATGGCGCCCATTCCCCCCAGCGCTCATCCGCCGTTCTACCTCCCTTCTCCTTCCGCCGCCTCCCCATCCACCCGCGCATCCGCCCCTTGCGCCATGGAATGGCATGCACCAGCATCGGCGCGCTTTGCTGCCTCCTCTCTCTCCTCGCTCTCCTCCTCCTTCTCATCGTCCTCCGCTCCCTCCTGCTAGAAAGCTCCGTCGCACCTTCCGCACCCAGCAGTACGAATCACGGTGACACGCGCTCGCCGGTTTTCGACGGACTCGAAGACTGCCAAGACGAATTCCGTCAACTGTTGGACGCTTTCGGATTGCGCGACGGAACTGATGGTAATGACTGCAGCGCCTTGCTCGATTCCGTCGCAGCAGCAGACGACGGCGTGGGAGGCGGCGATCCCCGTGCGAGTGACGCGGCGGGTAAGGGGGCATGGGATGCGAGTGCACGTGACGAGAGAGCAGGGGGGCGGGAGGAGCAGGAGGGTCCAAGCGTGGCTGCTGCTGGTAGCGATGGCGAGGAGAAGGGTTCGGGTACAGAGCGTGCTGCCGCCTCCTTGCCTCCCCTGGGTGCGTTTGTGGGCCGCTCCTTTTTCAACCCCACGGCATTCGTTGATGACAAAAGCAGTGAAGGCGGCAGCAGTGTACCATCTGAGAGCACCCACAGTGACCGCCACAGCGACAGTAACAGTGACAGTGACAGTAGCAGCTTCCGAGCCGTCCCTAAGCCATGGGGCCTCTGCGTTACCCTCGCTCCCACCCACTGCTCCTGCTCCCCTCCCCCCCGCCCTCCCCTTCCCCCGCCCTCCACCCAACCCGCGCACCCCTTCCCCCTCTCCGCCCTGCGCCATCTGTTACCCGCCCATGCCACTGCGGCCACTGCGGCTGGCAGCGGCAGCAGAAGTGAGCAGCACAGCGAGTCTTCTCCCACAGATCCCACCACCGCTTCAAACCCATCCGCACTCCCTTCACCTGCCCTGGACCTGCTGCTCTCCCTGGATCGCCACCGAGCCAGGGGGCTGCTGCTGGAACGCTCCATGCGCGCCGTGGCTTACAGCCCCGGCTGCCGAGCCTCGGTGCCAGCCTCGGAAAGGAGGGACGAGTGGAGACAGCAGAGGAGCGGGGAGGAGAGAGCAGGCGAGGGGGATGGGGGTGCGGCAGAGGGAGTGGATTTCAAGAGGAATGAAGCTGCAGAGATGGATGAGGGAGGGGGAGAGGGAGAGGGGGATGGAGGAGATGGTGGAAATGGTGAGGGTGATGAGGAGGATGGGTACAGGCGGGTTCTGAAGGAACTATCAGCTGATTTTGAGGTGGATCTGGTGCAGGCGCCACCTGCCCTCTGCTCGCTCCCTCACGCCCTGCCAGCAGCAACCAGGCAGCAGCTGCTTGGGGCCTACTCGCCGCGGTTTTTCCCTCCCTACCGCACTGCACACCTCTGGACGGCCCTCAGTGCCGCCTCTGCCTCGGGGCAGCAAGATTGGGCGGGGAAACAGGGGGAGTCGCAGCAGCAGCAACGGCAGCAAGGGTTGGAGAAGCAGCAGGGGGTGAAGGAGCAACAAGTGCAAGGATTGAAGGAGCAGACGTGTGTGGAGAGAGTGAGAGCCGCGTGCTTGCGGCAACGGTGGCAGCGGGAGGTGCAACGGACAGTGCAGTTCGTGCATGCTGTCCGGCAGTGCGCTGCCTCCTCCCCCCGCCACGTGCTCTTCCTACACGCACCCCGCCACTGCACAGGGACAGTGGGTTGCAACACAGAGGAGGCAGGAAGGGGAGGAGGGGCGGGCATCAGAGGAGGAAAAGGCAGCAGAAGAGGGGAGGCAAGTGGGGAAGGAGGTGTGCGGGTGAGGGAGCGGTATGACGTGGCGATGGAGCGGCTTGTAGCCCGGGAGCTGCGAGGAAAGGACTGGGGCGTGGTGTCCCTGGCAGGCCGACCGGCAGCAGCAGCAGCACCACCCATGGCGCCAGACGCACAAGCAGGGGATGCGGTCCACACAGGGGACGTCACAGACACAGGGGGCACAGCGCAGGGGGACGCTGCTGAAACAGGAGGCAGCACAGAAGCAGCGAGCACGGCACAAGCAGGGGGGGCGTGGGGGACTTGGCACGAGGGCGGATCAGCATCAGTGGTGCGGGGTGTGAGGGGCGTGCAGGCGCTGCTGCTGAGGGGCGAGGCGAGCCACCTGCTGCCGCTGCTGGACCAAGTGGAACAGCGCTTCCTGGAGGGCCCTCTGGAAGACCTCCTTATAAGCTTCTTCGGTAAAAGTAATAAGTCCGTGCACGTGCATGAACCTCCGCTGTTCTGGCGGGCGGTGGGAGGAGGAGACGGGGGCGAAGGGAGGGAGGGGGCAGGGGAGGAGGAGGGTGGGGCTTTGGGGAAGGAGGCGGATGGGGTGGAGGGGGGAAATGGGTTGGAGAAGGGAGATGGAATGGAGGAGGCTAGTTTTGAGTCGACTCAGAACTGGGTGCAGGAGGGATGGGCGGTGGAGGACCCATTTGCTAACGAAGTTGAGGAACCCATTCGTACCGCATTGAACCCACCAGCAGCACCCATGGGGCTGTCTGTGTCGCGGAGCATGCTGGTGAGTGTCCACGGGAGGGAGGTGGTGCCGGCAGGTGCTGCTGGGAGTGTGGCGATGAGTGGCAGGGTAGAGAAGGGAGGTGATAGGGGGGAGGGGGATGGTGGCAGCAGGGGAGAGGGGAGAGGGGCGAGTGGAACAGAAGACCACAACGCAGCAGCAGCAGCAGGGGCAGCAGCAGCAGCAGGGGCAGCAGCAGCAGCAGGGGCGGCAGCAGGGGCAGCAGCAGGGGCGGCAGCAGGGGGTATCGGCAGTGGGAGCGGTGTGACGCGAGCAGCAGTGGTGCTGTCGCCCGGCTCGTTTGCGTGTTGGGTGAGAAGCGGAGGTGAGGCAGCAAGGGGTGATGAGAGGCAGATGCAAGGGGGCGAGGCGGAGGCGCAAGGGAAGGGCGGGGCTGGTGGGTTGAGAGGAGGCAATGCTGCTCGTGGTGAGAATGACTATAGTGCTGCTGCTGCTGCTGCTGCTGCTGCTGCTGCTGCTGCTGCTGCTGCTGCTGCTGCTGCTGCTGGTGATGACTATGATGATGCTTCAAGTCCATCGCCTTCTGGTGTGGCTGCAGGTGCAGCAGAGGCACCAGCGGGTGTGACAGCAAAGGGTGTGACGATAGTGGGCATGATTCGAGGCGAGGTTGTGCTTGAGAGCCCTCTGACGGAGCAGGGGGCAGCGGCATGGACCATGGTGGCTCCGCGTGCCGTGGAGGACAAAGGGTGGCACCAGGAAGGGCCCCAGGAGGGGCAGCAGGGGGAGCACGAGGGGAGACACAAGGGCGATGGTGCACACGTGGTGGTGGGTCACACAGAGACAGAGGGTGGTGCTGGTGGGTGGAAAGGTGCAGGGCAGGTGGGGACACTGGCAGAGGTCCATCAGTTCTTGTTACCATTCCCATCACAGGACGGCTTTTTCTGCCCGGAATCAAGGACCAGAGAAACGTGTGGATGGGGAATGTTTTAGGTGTAGGTGACTACACTACTGTAGATACCATACCTATTGATACCATACCTGTAGATACTACCATATCTGCCACTGCTGTTTTGGCTGCTGCCACGGCAGATGGGCCTGCCAGGCTGTCAGCTCCCAGAGATGCGGTGCGGGGCACTGTGCAGATGGAGGGCGCGCTGACGTGGATTGACTCAGCGCCAGGCCGTGCCAGGCTGGCAGCTGAAGGGGTGGTGCTGATTGAGAGGAGGCGGAGTGAGGAGGGGAGTGAGGAGGAGCGAGTGTGGGGGGCGTGGCGCGATGTGGACGTGTGGGGCGCAGGGCAGGGCCGAGCAGAAAAGGGGGGGGAATTATCCGAAGATGGGAAAATTCGTTCTGGTGATTCAGACAGGCTCGTGGGGTTGGGGGCCAGCGGGGGAAGCAGCATGGGGAGCAGGGGAGGCGGGAGAGGCAAGGTGGGGAGGATGAGAGGTGCCAGGCTTGTGTTTGAGAAAAGTCAGGGAGAGGGGGGGCAAAAAGCAAATGGTGGTACCAGGTCAAGTGGTGTTGATGCGAACAGGCAGGTGAAGAGATTTCTTCTTGGAACTAATGTTGGTGGTGGTACGGAGGAGGGGGAAGCTTTTGATAGCAGGGAGAGTGATGGCAGAGGTGGCAGCAGCAGTGCTGCCACTGCAACTAGAGGTGGGGACAAGGAGCCCATTATGTTGCAATTGTCGTGCGATGGCATGGTGGAATACACTCAAACGAGTTGAATCCATTTTTGTGTGAAGCTTTTGTGCAGTATCTGGTTTCTCAACAAAATTCTGACATTTATTTATCATAGTTTAGGACTGATAGAGTCACTGGTAACGTATTGCAATATCGACCTTGCGTACAAATCCACCCTCCATTCTGATAGCGACAATCTATGTGGTTACCTCACGCTTCGCTTGGCGTCGTGACTCCACACCACCATGGCTGGACTGACACAACCTCACTTCTCCCCCCACCCTCGCTTGAACAGTCAGGGAATGGCACTTGCTATGGCCTGCGCTGGATGGCCTTGCTGAAGCGTTCCGGAAAGTTTTCATTACCCTACTTAACCGATGTAATACGTATAGAGAACGAACTGAACCGTATTCACGACCCTTGGACAAGCCCTCTCCCATCCCATCCCATCCCATCCCATCCCATCCCATCCCATCCCATCCCATCCCAGTCCCGTGCCGTGCTTTTCCTCGCCCCAGGCCCTGCCGTTGAATGCGCGCTTTTCAAGTTCCTCTCTCGTTCATGCCTTCCTCTGCCTGTGACGACGAGAGCTGGGGAATCGGAAACCCGTGAGATTCGGTCCAGCCAGGGTAGAGTCGATTTCTCAATTCCAATTCGTCGCGACAATCCGCTGATGCATTACAGCGCGCTCTGAAGCGTGTCGGGCGGGGCACGGTGGAGCGGAGGGATGGAGCGCGCGATGGTTAGCAGAGGAGCGGCAGAGGCCACACAGGCAGATGAGCGACAAGCATCCGAGGGAGCAGGCGAGGCGAAGGAAGACGGTCGCATGGAATTGGCGGGGGAGGGTGGGGGTGAGAAGGCGGGAGAGGGTATTGTAGCAGTTACAGCTGATGACGCAACAGTTAACGCTGATGACGCAGCAGTTAACGCTGATGACGCAGCAGTTAGAGGTGATGACGCAGCAGTGAAAGCAGACGATACAGTCGTTAAAGCGACAGATAAGGCAATCAAAGTGGAGGATACGGCCCTTAAAGCGGACAGAACGTGCATTAAAGGGGACAATACAGCGACTAAGACGGACGACACAGCAATTAAACCGGCCGATAAAGCCATTAACAATAAAGCCATCGTGGGCGATGAAGCCATTAAAGCCGACGATAAAGCCGTTAAAGCGGACGATAAAGCCATGGCTGCCTCACCTAAGGCTGCAGGCGAAGCAGCTGTTTGTGAGACAGAGAGGGCCGTGGCAGCACGGGGAGCCTCAGATAGGGCTGCTGGTGAAGCTAGCAGCGCCGCCAGGGCTACTGGTGAAGCTAGTAGCGCCGCCAGGGCTACTGGTGAAGCTAGTAGCGCCGCCAGGGCTACTGGTGAAGCTAGTAGCGCCGCCAGGGCTACTGGTGAAGCTAGTAGCGTCGCCAGGGCTACTGGTGAAGCAAGTAGCGTCGCCGGGACTGCTGGCGCTGCTAGTAGCGCCGTCAGGGCTCCAGGCGACGAGGCGAAGGCGACTTGTATCGCTGACGAGAATGAGAAGGTGATAGGCGACGAAACGAAGGTTGCAGCAGGCGAAATGAAGGTTGCAGCAGGCGAAACGAAGGTTGCAGCAGGCGAAACGAAGGTTGCAGCAGGCGAAACGAAGGTTGCAGATGGCGAAACGAAGGTTGCAGATGGCGAAACGAAGGTTGCAGATGGCGAAACGAAGGTTGCAGATGGCGAAACGAAGGCCGAAGAGAGGACCGGAGAGCCGCGAAAGGAGAGGAGGGATGAGAGGACTGAGGAGGCGAAGAATGAGGGGAGCGAGGAGAAGAGGGGTGAGAGGAAGGAGGAGAGGAGGGAAAAAGAGGTTGCAGGGAGGGAGGGGGTGTATGAGAAGCAGGGCGATGGGGAGAAGCATGAGGGAATGGTAGGCAGTGCGCGGCAGGTGGAGGAAGCGAAGCGAGAAGAGGGAGAGGCGTCGGACAGAGATGAGGAGAAGAGGACGCGTGAGAGTGGGGGAACGGTGAAGGGTGATTCAACGCGTGCGGAGGGATGGAAGGGAGGTGGAGGGACGGTTGGGGGAGAGGAGGGTGAGGGCGGAAAGGAGATTGAGGGTGGGAAAGTGGGGGAGGGTGGGAAGGAGGGGGAGGGAGGAGAGCAGCAAGGGGACATGCGGGGAGTGGATGGCACACAGGCGGGGATGAGGGTGGCATCGGAGAAAGCAGCATTGGGGGGAGCAGCGGTGGGGGGAGCAGCGGTGGGGGAAGCAGCGGTGGGGGAAGCAGCGTTGGAGAGTTTGGTGGAAGGTGGCGATGGGAGCGAGGGACGGGAGGAGGAAAGATGTGGGGATGCAATGAAGGTTAAACACATCTTTATGGAGGGCGGAGGGGGGTCTGGCAGGGAGGGGGAGAAGGGGAGGGAGAAATTTGGGGAGAAGGGGAACCAGGGATTGGGGAAGAATGAGAAAGGAGGGAGGGTCATGGCAGACGCAAGAGAGGGGGATGAGATGGGAAGGGACGTGGGAAGGGAGGGGGGAAGGGAGGAGGGAAGAGAGAGAAACGAGGAGGGAATGGAGGAAAGGGAGGAGGGAAAGGAGGCGAAAGGGGAGGAGAAAAGGGAGGAAAGGGAGGAGAAGGAGGGAAGTGATGAGAATAGGGAGGCGAAAAGGGAGGCAAGAAGGGAGGACAAACCGGAGAAGGGAGAGGAGGGAGTGGAGGAGGAGGAGGAGAAAAGGGACGAGAAATTGGAGGGAGGGGTGAAGAAAAGGGAGGCGAAACAAGAGGAGAAGCAGGAGCAGGGAGGGGTGGATAAAATGGAGGAGGGAGACGTGCGAGGAGAGGAAAAGGGGAAGGTTGGGAGGATGAGCACTGAGAGAGGGGATGAGGCGAAGAGAGGGGATGAGGCGAAGAGAGGGGATGAGGCGAAGAAAGGGGATGAGGCGAAGAGAGGGGACGATGAGAAGAGAGGGGATGATGAGGCGAAGAGAGGGGGTGAGGGGAAGGGAGGGGATGAGGCGAAGAGAGGGGATGAGGCGAAGAGAGGGGAGGAGGCGACGAGAGGGGATGAGGCGGAGAGATGGGATGAGGCGAAGAGATGGGATGATGGGAAGAGAGGGGATGAGGAGAAGAGTGGGGAGGAGGCGAAAAGAGGGGAGGAGGCGAAAAGAGGGGAGGAGGCGAAGAGAGGGGATGAGGCGAAGAGAGGGGATGAGGCGAAGAGAGGGGATGAGGCGAAGGGAGGGGATGAGGCGAAGAGAGGGGATGAGGCGAAGAGAGGGGATGAGGCGAAGAGAGGGGATGAGGTGAAGGAAGAGGATGTGGTTGGTGCAGGCGAGGGGGGACATGCTGCTGAGGCGATGGCACACGCAGGGCAGGCCGAAGCACAGGAGGATAGGCCAGGAAAGGACAGGGAGGAAGGAGCAAAGGAGGGGAATGAAAGTGCAAAGGAGGGGAAGGAAAGTGTAAAGGAGGCGAAGGAAAGTGTAAAGGAGGGGAAGGAAAGTGTAAAGGAGGGGAAGGAAAGTGTAAAGGAGGGGAAGGAAAGTGAAAAGGAGGGGAAGGATAGTGTAAAGGAGGGGAAGGAAAGTGCAAAGGAGGGAAAGGAAAGTGTAAAGGAGGGCGAGAAAGGTGCAAAGGTGGGTGAGGAGCGGTTGAATGGGGAGAAGGTGAGTGGGGAGGAGAAGGTGAGTGGGGAGGAGAAGGTGAGTGGGGAGGAGAAGGTGAGTGGGGAGGAGAAGGCGAGTGGGGAGGAGAAGGCGAGTGGGGAGGAAGAGGCAGAGAAGGAGAAGGGCTGGCAAAATGAGAGTGTGCGGAAGGACAACAAGGCGGAAAGGGGGAAGGTGGGTGGGACGGAAGGGGGAAATCTGGGTGGGAACGAAGAAGGGGAGGTGGGTGGGAAGGAAAAGGGGGAAGTGGGTGGGGTGAAGCAGGGTGCGAGGAGTGGTGAGGCGGGTAAAGATACCACTGAAGAGAAGGCGGAAGCGGTGAACAGGAGTGGAGAGAAGGCGGAAGCGGTGAGCAGGAGTGGAGAGAAGGGGGAAGCGGTGAGTAGGAGTGGAGAGAAGAGGGAAGCTGTGAGCAGGAGTGGAGAGAAGGCGGAAACGGTGAGTAGGGGTGGAGAGACGGCGGAAGCGGTGAGTAGGAGTGGAGAGAAGGTGGAAGCGGTGAGTAGGAGTGAAGAGAAGGCGGAAGCGGTGAGTAGGAGTGGAGAGAAGGAGGAAGCGGTGAGTAAGAGTGGAGAGAAGGTGGAAGGCATCAGCATGGAGAATTGTGGTGTTGGTGATGTGGAGGCGGGAATGGGGAAGGTGGAGGACGGGGTGGTGGCGGAGGAGGGGGAGAAGAGGGCGGAGGGCGAGGGTGGTGTGAGAGGTGCGGTGGTGGTGAGGGCTGCTGCTGGGGTGATAGGTGCAGCCTGGGGAGACGAGGGGGATGGGGTGATGGGGTGATGGGGATGGGGGAAAGGGCAAAGGAGGAGGGGAAAGGGGTTAAGAGGGAGGAGGAAGGGGCAATGGGAGAGGAGGAAGGAAAGAGGGAAAAGGAAAGTGCACTGGGTGAGGACGAAAAGGCGGAGGGGAAGGGTGATGGGGCAAAGGGGGAGGAGGAGGGGGTAAAGGGAGAGGAGGAAGGAACAAAAAGGGAGAAGGAAGGGGCAAAGGGTGAGGAAGTAGGGGTAAAGAGAGAGGAGGTAGAGGCAAAAGGGGAGGAGAAAGGGGCAAAGGGGGAGAAGGAAAGGGTGAAAAGGGAGGAGGAAGGGACAAAGCGAGAGGATAAAAGAGCGAAAGCGAAGGAGGCAGGAGCAAAGAAGGAGGAGGAAGGAGTAACGCGTAAGGATGAAGGGGCAAAGGCGAAGGGGGAAGCCACGAAAGGGAGGGATGAAATGGAAACAGTGTTGAGGGATGGGACAAAGGGGGAGGAGGCGAAGGGGAAAGAAGGAGAAGAAGGTACGGCAATGCTAGGGGGTAAGGGGAGGGGGGGAGCAGGGGAGACCAGAGGTGTGGAGGGAACGGGAAAAGTGAGGTTGGAGGAGAAGGTAGGAGGTGTAGATGGGATGGGGGAGGTGCACGAGAAAGCAGAAATCAAGGTAGAGAAGACAGTTGTGGGAGGGAAGCGAGAGGTGCTAGAGGCGATGCTTGGGATGGCAGAGGTAGAGGCGGCAGGGGTGGAGGCGAGGGGCAGTGCTGAGCTGGCAGCGAGTGGCGATGCTGCCAGTGCGCTTGCCGGGAAAGTGGGGAATGGGGTGGTGCAGACGGGTCAAAGTGCATTGGCGGCAGGCAGAGGGCAGCAGCAGGCGACAGAGCAGAGGGGCCAGGGAGGAGATTTGGCTGGGTTGGGAGTGGTGACGGGTGGGGGTGTGAAGGGAGGAGTGGGGTTGGATGCAGAGGTAGGTGGGGAGCAGGGGAAGGAAGGAGAGGGTGGGTTGGGTGCACAGGCGGGATTTGTTGGCAAAGGAGGCGGAATGGATGCGTGTGGTGGATGGACACACGGTGTGAAAGCTGGAGATGGGGTTGGCAAAGAAGGGAGAACAGAAAAGGTTGTGGGGAATGCAGCGAGCAGTGCAGGTCAGGAGGGTGCAGGGAAGGGGCGAGAGGTGAGCAGGTTCATGGGTGGTTGGGCGGCGGAAGCGAGGGAAGTGGAGGCGAGTGTGGAGCAGAGAGGTGGAGAGCGAGTGGGTTCTGGAAAGGTGGCAGTGGAGGCTGGGGCACGGGGGAAGGAGACGGGGGAGGAGAAAGGGGAAGAGGAGAGAGGAGAGGAGGGGAAGGAGAGTGGGGAAGAGGGGAAGGAGAGAGGGGAAGAGGGGAAGGAGAGAGGGGAGGGGAAAGGGGAAGAGGAGAGAGAAGAGGAGGGGAAGGAGAGTGGGAAAGAGGGGAAGGAGAGAGGGGAGGAGGGGAAGGAGAGTGGGGAAAAGGGAAAGGAGAGAGGGGATGAGTGGAAGGAGAGAGGGGAGGAGGGGAAGGAGAAAGAAGAAGTGGGGAAGGAGAAAAGGGAGGAGGGGAACGAGAGTGGGGAGGAGGGGAAGAAGAGATGGGAGGAGGGGAAGGAGAAGGGGGTGGAGGAGAAGGCAAGAAGGGAAGAGGGGAAGGAGAGAGGGGTGGAGGGGATGGAGAGGGGGGAGGAGGGGAAGGAGAAAGAAGAGGAGGGGAACGAGGGAGAGGAAGAGAGGAAGGAGACTGGGGGCGAGAAGGAGAGAGGGGAGGAGAAGGAGAGAGGGGGGGGAAAGGAGGGTGCGGGCAAGAAGGAGAGAGGGGAGGAGAAGGAGAGAGTGGAGGAGAGGGAGAGTGGGGGGGAAAAGGAGGGTGCGGGCAAGAAGGAGAGAGGGGAGGAGAAGGAGAGAGTGGAGGAGGAGAGAGGGGAGAAGGAGAGAAAGGAGGAGAAGGAAAGAGGGGGGGATAAGGAGAGAGGGAGGATCACAGAGAAAGGGGAAGAGAAGGAGAGGGGGGAGGAGAAAGAGGGAGGAGAAGAGGAGGAGAGAGGGGAGGAGAAGGAGAGGGGGGAGGAGAAAGAGGGAGGAGAAGAGAAGGAGAGAGGGGAGGAGGAGAGAGGGGAGGAGGGGAGAGGGGAGGAGAAGGAGAGAGGGAAGGAGAAGGAGAGAGGGGAGGAGGAGAGAGGGGAGGAGAAGGAGAGAGGGAAGGAGAAGGAGAGAGGGGAGGAGAAGGAGGGAGGGAAGGAGGCGAATGTGGTAGGGAAGGAGGAAAGGGCGGAAATTGAAGAGAGGGTAGGAGGTATGGTTTGGGCAAACCAGGGGCAGGGGAGGGAGGAGGAAAAGGAGGATGTGGATGAGAAGGGTGCAAAGGAAGGAGCAAAGGAAGGAGCTAAGGGGATGGCGTGTGGAGAGGTGCAGCGACGAGGGAGTGAGAGGGAGGAGAGCCAGAAGAGAAAGAGAGATTGGGAAAAGGAGGGTGAAGGGGGAGATGAGGTAGAAAAGAAAAGGAAGGAGTGGGAGGGTGCAAAGAAAGAGAAGGAGAAAGCGGAGGAGGAGGTGGGCAGAGGGGAGGTGGAGAAGAGAGGAGCAAAGGAAGTGCTGGAAGAGAGTGAGGGTCGTGCCTGCAGTGCTGTGAAGGTGGATGAGACGAGGCAGGTGGATGAGACGAGGCAGGTGGATGAGACGAGGCAGGTGGATGAGACGAGGCAGGTGGATGAGACGAGGCAGGTGGATGAGACGAGGCAGGTGGCAGAGCAGAAGCAGTTGGTGCTTCTTGGCAGTACAGCCACCCACGACTGGGCTGCTGTTGTCGCTGCCATTGCCCACTCTCCACCTGCCACCACCCCTGCTGCCACTGCTGCTGCCACTGCCTCTGTCACTGCTGCTGCCACTGCCTCTGTCACTGCTGCTGCCACTGCTGCTGCTGCCACTGCTCCTGTCACTGCTGCTGCCACTGCTCCTGTCACTGCTGCTGCCATTGCTGCTGCCACTGCTCCTGCCACTGCTCCTGCCACTACTCCTGCCACTACTCCCGGTATTGCTGCTGCCACTGCTCCTGCCACTGCTGCTGCCACTGCTGCTGCCATTGCTGTTGCCACTGCTCCTGCTCACTCCCCCAACGTTCCTACTGCCACCGCTGCTCCTCATTCCCCCAACTTGCCTGCTGCTCCTGCTCCTGCTGCTGCTGCTGCTGCCGAGACTGCCGATGTTGACACTCAGACTGCTGAAGCTGACTCACAGACTGCCAGTGCTGACACAGAGACTGCCGATGCTGACGCACAGACTGCCGAAGCTGCCACAGAGACTGCCAAAGCTGGCACAGAGGCTGCCGAAGCTGCCACAGAGACTGCCGATGCTGACGCACAGACTGCCGAAGCTGCCACAGAGACTGCCAAAGCTGACACAGAGACCGCCGACGCTGACACAGAGACTGCCAAAGCAGATGCTGAGTGTGTTTCACGAGCCCCTCCCTCCACCTTGAAAGAAGCTCCGCTTGCTGTGGAGAGACCAGTGGCTCTGACCTACCACACCAAGTCTGAGGCTGCTGCAGCTACTGTTGAGGCTGCTGCAACTGCTGTTGAGACTGCTGCAGTCGCTGATGCAAGTGTTGCTGCAAGCCCTGCTGTTGCGGCTGCTGTAAATGGTATTGGTGCCACTGTTACTGGTGCTCCTGCTGATGCGGCTGATGCTGCTTCTCCTGGTGCTGCTGATGCTATTAGTACTGGTGCTTCTGCCACTGGTGCTGCTGGTGCTACTGCTCGTGGTGCTACTGGTGATTCTGCTCCTAATGCTGCTGATGCTTCTGCTCCTGGTGCTGCTGATGCTTCTGCTCCTGGTGCTGCTGATGCTTCTGCTCCTGGTGCTGCTGATGCTTCTGCTCCTGGTGCTGCTGATGCTTCTGCTCCTGGTGCTGCTGATGCTTCTGCTCCTGGTGCTGCTGATGCTTCTGCTCCTGGTGCTGCTGATGCTTCTGCTCCTGGTGCTGCTGATGCTTCTGCTCCTAATGCTGCTGATGCTTCTGCTCCTGGTGCTGCTGATGCTTCTGCTCCTGGTGCTGCTGATGCTTCTGCTCCTGGTGCTGCTGATGCTTCTGCTCCTGGTGCTGCTGATGCTTCTGCTCCTGGTGCTGCTGATGCTTCTGCTCCTGGTGCTGCTGATGCTTCTGCTCCTGGTGCTGCTGATGCTTCTGCTCCTGGTGCTGCTGATGCTGCTGCCACGAGTCCCGATGCTGCGGCCACGAGTCCCGATGCTGCTGCCACGAGTCCCGATGCTGAGGCCGCGAGTCCCGATGCTGCTGCCATGAGTCCCGATGCTGAGGCCGCGAGTCCCGCCATGAGTCCCGATGCTGCTGCCATGAGTCCCGATGCTGCTGTCACGAGTCCTGATGCTGACACTGCCGCTGCTGTGACTGATTCTGGTGCTGCCATTCATGCTGCTGCTGCTATTGATTCTGTTTCCATACCTGGTGCTGCAACAGCTATTGATGCTGTTGGTGCTGCAACAGCTATTGATGCTGTTGGTGCTGCAACAGCTATTGATGCTGTTGGTGCTGCAACAACTATTGATGCTGTTGGTGCTGCAACAGCTATTGATGCTGTTGGTGCTGCAACAACTATTGATGCTGTTGGTGCTGCAACAACTATTGATGCTGTTGGTGCTGCAACAACTATTGATGCTGTTGGTGCTGCAACAACTATTGATGCTGTTGGTGCTGCAACAACTATTGATGCTGTTGGTGCTGCAACAACTATTGATGCTGTTGGTGCTGCAACAGCTATTGATGCTGTTACTACGAGTGATGCTGCTGGTGCTGCAACAGCTATTGATGCTGTTACTACGAGTGATGCTGCTGGTGCTGCAACAGCTATTGATGCTGTTACTACGCCTGATGCTGCTGCTGCTGCAGCAGCTATTGATGCTGTTACTACGATTGATGCTGCTGCTGCTGCAGCAGCTATTGATGCTGTTACTACGAGTGATGCTGCTGGTGCTGCAACAGCTATTGATGCTGTTACTACGAGTGATGCTGCTGCTGCAGCAGCAGCTATTGATGCTGTTACTACGAGTGATGCTGCTGGTGCTGCAACAGCTATTGATGCTGTTACTACGCCTGATGCTGCTGGTGCTGTGACTCAGGAGGTCGATGCAACTGCCACTGCACCAGGCAGGGGGGCATCTGACAATGCACCTCCTCCCCCGAAGAGGGTTCACCTCTCCACGGCATATCTGCGCAGAATGCTGGCTGGAAAGAGCAGGACCGGGGCAACAGTAGGAGGTGGAAGAAGAGGAGTTAGAGGAGGAGCAAGTGTGGGGCAAGCAGCAGGTGGTGGAGCGGGCCGAGCAAGAGAGGATGGTGTGAGTGGGCGAGCATCTTCAGCACTGCTGTCACCTGCCGTGCATCTATCACCAGCCATGCGCCTATCTCCAGCCCAACAACAGCACGCCCTTGCTTTCCTCTTGGCCCAGCCCCACCCTCCCTCCCCGTTCCCCACACCTTGCTCGTCCTTTCCCCCGCCCTCCTCCCCTCCCCTTTCGCCTGCTCCTCTTCCTCTTGCTCCCAGCCACCAGTCGACCCCGGCAGCAGTAATAGCAGCAGCAGCGCCAGTGGCAGGAGCACCACTAGCAGCACCAGCACCACTCGCTCCAGCAGCAGCAGGTTCGGCTCTGGGGTCTCAGCTCTGCCCCGCTCGCCTCTCAGCTCCGCCCACTCTCCTCTCCCTCCCACCCTCCTTCCGCCCTCCCGCTGTCATCCCCACTGCTCCTCACACGCCGACTCACATGGTGCCAGCAGCACACCAGCATCTCTCTGCCCCTTCCCTCCCTGATAGCGTCACTCCAGCCCCCACTGCCTGCCCTCCTCACCAAGCCTCTTCCCCCGCGCACACGGACCTGAATGCCGTGCCGATATCAGGCTCGGAATTAGGCTCGGGTGCAGGGTTGGATACACGCTCGGGTGGAGGCGTGGAAGGGAAGGACAGAGAGGATGGTGAGAGAAGTGGGCGGGTGGAGAATGAGACAGAGGTGGATGGGGAGAAGAGAGAGGGGGAGACGAGAGAGGTGGAGAAGAGGGAGGAGGAGACGAAGAGAGAGGAGGAGGAGAAGAGGGCGGAGGAAGAAAGGAGAGTGGCAGAGGGGCGGAAAGTGGTGCGGAGGCTGCAGGGGAGGAGAGGGGCAGGGAAGGACTTCTGGGAGAAGATTGATGATGAGGTGAGTGCGGCAGCTGCTGCTGTCTGCTGGTAATTTATGCTTCTGCTTATAACTCCTGCGTCTGCATTAACTCCTGCGTCTGCATTAACTCCTGCTTCTGCGTTAACTCCTGCTTCTGCGTTAACTCCTGCTTCTGCAGCCCATGTGTGCGTCTGCTCATTGCCTTGATTGGCCACGTCCTCTTCTTGTTCACTCATCCTCTGTCTACTCACTCTCCCGACCCTCCCATCCCCCTCTGTGTCCCTGTCTGCCCATCAGGTCGACTCTCTCCTTCTGCCCCGCCTCTACCCACACAAGGCCCCTCCCGCTCTGCACTTCCACCCACCCTCTCAGCCTCCTTCCTCCATGCCTCCTCCCCTCACGCCTCCTCTCAACTCCCTTCCTTCGTTTCCTCATCCCTCTGCACCCATCTCCAACCCCGCCCACCCCCCTGCTCCCACCATGCCTCAGTTGCTGCATGTCCCCTCTTTAGGTGCACCCTACGTGAACCTCTCTCACTCTCCGCACACTCACGGCCCCTCACAAGCTCACACACACACTCCCAACACACACACCAGCACACACACACCCATACACACTGGCCATGCCGGTTCACCCAGCAGTCTCACTCACGCCCGGGAGCCCAGCAGTACCCAGCCAAGCAGCAAGCAGAAGGCAAAAAAAGAGCGGCAGGATCAAGTACCGTTCAGTGCACCATTCGGGTAAGCAAGCATCCTCAACGCCCTCACAGGGAACACCTCTCACATTGCCACCTCATGCCCTACTCGCCACGGGGACGCTGCGTTATAACCAATCCTTGCCTCACTGCCTCCCTCATCAACCCCACCCGTGCCGCTCATGCCCTCAACCCACCTGTGCTTTCTGTTCAGAAGTTCAGAACATGTGCATGTGCATGTCATAAAGGACGTGTTACTCAGTTCAACCTCCCTTCCCTTCCCCTTTCCCTGTCTCCCCGCCCACACTGTATGACCCACTAGCAGGTTCCCCCTCCATCCAGTGGCCGCATTCCCCTCCCTCCTCGCCCTCCCGCCCTGCCCGTCTCTCGACTCGCTTCTCTCCTCGCTGCTCCCCGAGTCAGAAGGAACACTGCCAAAGGGCATGCCTGGGCAAAGCAGAGAGCATGAGAGGGGAGGCACGGGCGTTGCAGGCAAGAGTGGGCAGAGTGGGGTGCAGTCAGATGGGCAGAACGAGAAAGAGAAGGCAGGCGGTGGTGAGGCCAGCAATGCTGATGATGCTTTGCTGGGGCGGTATGAAGAGTTTTTTCTGCCCCCGTTTCCCTGGCTGCCGAAGGCTGGTGCTCCTGGTAAACCTATTCGGGCACGTGATCGATCCCGGGCAGCGGAAAAGATTAGTGGCAGCTTAGACAGCGAGATTGTGCAGAGAGGAGAATTGGAGGGCAGACTGGGAGGCATTGATAAGTATGGGAAGGGCGGCAGTGGGAGTATGCATGGCATTGGCGGTGAGCTAAGTGGATTGCTTAACAAAGAGCGGATGTTCAAACGTTTGAAAACAGAAGGTGATGGAGGGGGTTGTGGTGGGCGTGAGGTGGATGAGTTGACAGAGGAGAGTGTGGAGCGAGAGGTGGAGGATGGGGAAGGGGGGGAGGGGGATGGGGAGGAGGAGGAGGAGGAGGGGGAGGAGGAGGGGGAGGGAGAGGGAGAGGAGGAAGAAGAGGAGGGGGAGGCGGGCACGGAGGAAGTTGAGGGAGAGGGAGAGGGTGATGAAGGTGAGGAGACGGAGGATGAAGTGGAGGGAAGAGAGGCGGAGGGAGGAGAGGTAGAGGGGGAGGGCGATGGGGGCCACAGGGAAAAGGGGGTTGCGTTGGAAGGCAGTGTGGAGACGAGAGGCCAAGGCGAGCGTGAAGCTGACGGGATTATGACAAATGGTCTCCTCTCTGTGCCGCCCGCTTTCGCCACCCATGCAGCAGCACCCATCCATGACCCGTCAGCTGCACTCCACACGCCCCACGCACACACACATGCCTCTCCACATGCCCACACTCACACGGCTCCTCTGCACCCATCCGCTGCCCCTCGTACCCATCCGCACATCTCCCTCTCCCCTGCCCCATCCTCTGCCATTCCGCCCAGTCTTAAACACCCCAGTTCCTTCCAGTCAGGGAGAGGTGAGCAAGGGAGACGGGAGGGAGGGCGAGGGAGAGGAGGGTCGAAAGGAGGAGGAGGGAGAGGGGAAGGAGGGAAGCGGAGTGGAAAGGAGGGTGGTGGTGGGCGGGGCACGGGAGAGGGGTCAGGCGTGGTGATGCGAGGGAAGGGAGCATCGTCTCCCTCTTCTCCTCTCGCTGCCTCACCCGCTCTTGTTCCTCCCATTTCGCTGCCTTCCGCTGCCACCACTGGTGCCACTGCTCCAGCAGCAGGCACGGCCGGCATTGCACCCATGTCTGCCCGTTTGCTGCACCCCCCCTTTACTGCCCCTCCCTTTGTTCCACCCACGGCTGCTGCTGCTGCTGCTGCTGCTGCTGCTGCTGCTGCTGCTGCTGCTGCTGCTGCTGCTGCTGCTGCTGCTGCTGCTGCTGGAAGTGCCACCGCTGATGCCGCTGCCTGCATGTCACTACAGCTACCGCCGCCAGAGTTCAAGCCCAGGCGAACCTCCTCCCTCTCCTCCTCCTCGCCACTCCTCCGCCCGCCTCCCCTCCTCCCTCCCTCCTCTCCCCTCCTCCGGGCCGCCTCTGCAGCAGCTGCAGCCACAGCAAGCAGCAGAGAGGCAGCAGCGGATGAGGGGCTGGGGATGAAGATCTCCTTGGTGGGCGCTGGGGAGGGCAAGGGGCTGGTGGGGGGTGATGAGGGGAGGAGTAGGCCGCATGGTGGGCTGCTGATGGGCAGCAGAGGCAGCCTCTTTGGTCCCTCTGCTCTGGGCTCGGTATCGGTAGGAGCAGTGGGAGGGGTAACAGGAGGTGCACATGCAGTGGGAGACGCAGCAGCAGGAGGGGAAGCAGCGGCAGGTGCAGCAGGTGGAGCGGTGGAGGGCGAGGAGGAGGAGGATGCAGTGGCTGCTCTGGCTGCCATGGCTGCCGCTGCTACTGCTGCCCTGCCAGGGGATTCTCTTGATGATGCGCCTCTCGCTCACACACATGGTGGTGCGACCGCCATGCGCACACACGGTGCACGAGACGAGCTCCCTGCCAAGGGGGTGCCCAGAGGAGCAAAGCACAGCACCTCTGCTGCTGCAGATACCCCTGCTTCTCCCGCTCGTGCTGCTGCCACTGCAGCTGGCAGCAAGCGAGCAGGCGGCAAGGGGCGTTTGGCCGGGGCGGGGAAGGGGGAGGGCACAGGGGCAGGGAAGGTGGGTGCTGCGAGTGCAGGCGGGAAAACAGGTGGGGTTGCTGGAGAAGCAGCACAAGGGGCAGCAGGGGTTGGGAGAAGTGCTGCAGGGGGGAGTGGTGCAGCAGTAGGTGGTGCTGCTACTGCAGTGGTTGGTGCTGCAGCTGGCAGCGCTGTGAAGGTGGGGAAGAAGAAGGGGAAAGGACCGGCAGTTATGGTGTCGAAACCGAGTGTGGCGGTGGGAGAAGGGGTAACTGCAGCGACTGCCGCCGCTGCTGCGAGTGGTGTTGGTGCTGGTGGTGGTGCTGCAAGGGAGGAGCGGGCAGGCATGTTGGGGCACTTGGCTGCTCTGCTGGACCAAGCCAGTGCGGGATCAGCAGATGGAGGAGGTGGGCGTGTTGGGGGTGCTAGTGGCAGTGGTGGTGGTGCTGCTAATGTTGGTGGGAGTGGGGTCAGGGTAGGCAAGCTTGCTGGTAAAGTGGAGAAGCGGGAGGGGAAGAAAGGGCTGAAGGGCAGGGAGCACAGCGTGCCATTGCAAAAAGCATCGTCAGCAGCAATGGCAGGGGCTGCTGGGGGTTCTGCGGTTTGCCAGAGAACCACAGGTGCTGCTGCTGTTGCTGCTGCTGCTGCTGGTGCTGCTGGTGCCTCTCCTGCTGCTGATGCTCCTGCAGGTTCTGGTGTGCCGCCCAATCCTTCTGCTTCTGCTCCTGCTCCTGCTGGAAAAGTCTCGCCACTTGTGAGCCCAGCTCCTCCTGCTACAGCCGCTACCACTTCGACACCACCCAGACTCGGTATGACCACCAGCGCCAGCGCCAGGGCCCCCCACACTGCTGCTGCGGATCACACAGGCAAGAAACGCGCCAAGGCAGGCGGAGCAGCAGCAGGGCTGTCTCCCCTCGCCCGCCCCCTCGCCTCACCTCTCTTGCCTCCCCTTGCCTCTCCCCTCGTGCCTCCTATAGACCATGGGGAAGAGAGTGCAGAGGGAGGGCTGGGAGAGGAAAAGAGTGGGGAAGGAGGGGAGGGTGCAAGGGGTGGGGGGAGGGAGGAGGTGGCAGGGGGTGTGAAGAAGGGCCGTGGGCGGCCGAAAGGCTCCAAGAAGGTTGGCAAGAGAGGTGGGTGTTGAGGGGTGAGGATGATTTGAGGTGGGTGTTGAGGGTTGTGGATAATCTAAGGTGGGATTCAAGGGAGGTGAAATTTGTGCCTGGTGGTTTTTGAGGGGTTGGAGTTTGAAGAGGTGGTATGTGAGAGAGGTGGTATGTGAGAGAGGTGGTATGTGAGAGAGGTGGTATGTGAGAGAGGTGGTATGTGGCAGGTCAACCACTGATGGTATTTCTCTTGTGTCATGTTCTTCCCTTCCCCTCTTATCCCCTCCCCTCCACGTGCTTGCTCCTGCATGGCAGGCGATCCCCCAGATACACTTCCCATTAGTGCTGCTGCTGCAGCTGCTGCTGCACCGTTGCTGGCAGCAGCAGGAAGCAGGGAAGGCGGAGGAGCAGGAGGAGGAGGAGCAGGAGAGGGGACAAGGGGCAGGAGGGGCAGGAGGGGCAGGGGTGAGCGGGAAGGAAGATACGGCTGCTCTGATGCTCTTCTCCCTCGCCCAGCTGGCTGATGACGCTGCCGAGGACGGTGAGGGGGGGGAGGAGGGAGTTGAGGAGGTGGAGGGGGTCGAATGGGCTCAAGGAGGCGGAAATGAAGCGAGTGGAGCAGAGGCAAGCAGTGAAGACGCTTGTAGCGAGGATGAGGATGCGTTTTCTGCTGAAGCAGCAGGAGAAGGAGGCAGAGGAGGAGGAGGTGCTTTGGGGAATGCGAGTAAGAGAAAGCTATACAGGGACGGAGGCAAGGGCAGAGATATGGATGCAGGGAGATCGCAAGACAGGGCGATGGGTAGTGGTTTTGGTGAGTGGAAAGAGGAAGAGAAAGAAGAGGAGGAGGAGAAAGAGGAGGAGGAGGAAATAGAGGAGGAAGAGGAGGAGGAGGAGGAAGAGAGGGTGGCGGTGGTAGCACCACGCAAGCGCAGACGCACCGCCACAGCCATGGAGCCGGTGGCGCTGCAGGGAGTGCGAGATGGGTTGGTTTCTGAGAACTCTCAAAGACGCACAGCCATGGAGCCGGTGGCGCTGCAGGGAGTGCGAGATGGGTTGTTTTCTGAGAACTCTCAAAGACGCACAGCCATGGAGCCGGTGGTGCTGCCAGGCGTGCGAAGAGATGCTGTGCCCACTCCTCCTCGAAAGCGGAGGGAAGAGGAGAAGAACGCCAAGCAGAAAGACCCATGTGAACTCAAGGAGGTGGAGGAGGAGAGGGAGAGCGGAGCTGAATTGGTTGACCCTCACTTGCCTGGAGAGGATACCTCGCACTCTCACTCGCGCTCCCCATCGCCGCCACTGCGTGTCTCTCCTTCTCTGTCCCCATCTCCCGAACCACGTTTTAGGCATAGGAGAGCTCCAGCGAGGTAAGGCGATTTTGTTACCGTTGACTCGCACGGTGCAGTCGCCCGCCGTCCAGTATATCCGCGGGTTATGTCCTCGCAGCCAATCACTGCCGAGTAAAATATCGGTCCCATCCAGGGTCGTCGCCAGCATTTCCTGAGTGAAAGTAAGGTTACCCCCACAGCGAATCCAAAATCGGTCCACGCGTTCCCGTATCGCCAGTGGCGTGCCGTCGACCAGTCTCGCATCGATCTAAGGTAAGCACTGGTCCTGTGTCAGTTTAAGTCTCCGTGCAGTGGCAGTATTTATTAGACTGCGCTGCTGGTGCTGTTGTAGGACCCCGTTTTGGGTCGACGGGGAAAACCGAGTTTCTCGGCCATAACAAGAATGTTGTTGAATTCTGTGACGCTGCGAAGCAAGTTTTCTTTCGTGATTTCGTGTTTTTGACCGCCGACATAGCGATCGATGCGCTCGGCTTCATGCATGTATCCCACTTGCTCGCATAACGCCAGGAATCAGCTGGTGTAGTCTTGAACTGTACTGAGCTGGCGCCAAGTGCGGAGCTTCTGACGCGCGGAAATTGACCTACGCACCACACGTCCCACGTGCGATAATGGGCTACCTCCACGAAATACGACGGTGCCCATGGTCTAGTTGGCCCTTCCCCTGGCGGTAGAGCCTCGTAGTCGCTTGGCTTCGTGATGATGACACGCCACCAATCCATGGCGGGTCCTTGCAGCAACCACACGGCGTAGCGAATTTCCGCCGCATCCGACGAGACATAGTTCGCATCGAAGAATACATTCATCGTGAAGATCCATGCCTGAACCGTCGGACCACCCCGTTGACTCGGGTCGAAACATGGCGGACGCTGCGGCTTGAGCGGCATTGGTGAAGGTAGTGCCGACTCGTCGATGTTGACTCCCGCCGCATTCGTCGCTCCGGGGTGTGTCGTCCCGTGGTCGTCGCGAACATTGTTGCGCGCGACACCATCACTAGCAGCGCTCGAGTGTTGTCCCACACTCTCAGGTGGTGGATGGTGCTCCTTGTGCTTGCGTTCCTTGCGTTTGTGTCTGTGCTTGTTGTGCCCGTGCAATGTCGTATTGCAGCGATGTGCATTCTGTCGTTAGCGCCGCGATTTCCTTAGTGCTTTCATGCAGTTGGCGCGTCAGCTCATTCAGGCGCTCTTGCATAAGGCTTGCAAGGTCGATATGTTCTGCCATGTTGAAGGACGGCGGCCGGTCTAGGTGCTAGGCACAGTCGTGGCTGCACACGCTGAGAGTGCGCGAGGACAGCGGCTCCTAGTACGCTAAACGTCGTCTCGAATGAAAAATCAAAAGTTAGCTTCTGCTGATTGCGGAAATGCGCGATCCGAAAGGAAAGTGGCCTTGATAGCCAAGTGTTACGGGTGCAATGTATCAAGGTAGCGAGGATTGCACTAAGTTGGCAAATGAAAGCAAAGTATGAGTGAAGGCATGAGCAAATACTTATAACAGAAACATGCAAACGGTAACGCGGTGCGTGCAAGCTAGCTAGTGCGATGTTGGCAGCGAGTTTCGGGCCAGCCCCGAAGCGTAGGCCGACTTGGGCCAGGCCAGCGATGCATGGCTTGGCAAATGCAGCGCGCGGAATCGGCAAAGGCTCCGTTAGCTATAACGGGCGCCGGTCTTGTACGCGGTGTTGAGCTGCTGCTACGAGTGCAATTGAGCGAGCGAGCGAGAATTGCACTATCGAAGCAAAACAGTACAATGAGCGAAGGAATGAGCGAACAATATATAGCGAAGCTAGCATGGTAATGGTAACGCGAGAAAATGGGGTGCGCTACGGGCCTAGCGCCGAGGTTGGGAAATGTCGAGGCGGAGGTCCGGAGCGCGGGTTACCAACCGAACCGTGGGGTTGGGTCGCGTCGTGAACAGTGGCGGGAATAGTGGTCGAGGTGAGTGTCGCGAGCGGGTAACGTTTCAGTGTTGGGTGCTGTTTGCGGGAAATGTCATGTACGCGGTAAGCAGGGGTGCGAAGTAAGGAAAATGATTTTTCCTTACACTACCACCCTCCCCAAGGAGGCCCCCCTTACGAGAGTGCATGTACGTCCCGGAAGTTGCGGCTGCGTAGATACTCGGTGAGGACGGGGTGATTTTCAATTATATCTAGGGGCACCCAATTGTCCTCAGCGGGCGTGCAGTCTTTCCAGCGAATCAGGAACTCGATCCTGCGAGCTCCACATGGGTCACGAACTTGGTGGCTCTATATTTTCTCGGGTGTGATGACTAGCTCTGTTGGCGGTCGTGTCATGCGGGCGGGGCGGTTGCGAGGTAGTTGGCTGGTGGAAGGGACGTATGGCCGGAGTAAGCTGACATGAAATTATGGGCTGATGTACTAGTCACCAGGGAGGAGGGGGTGGGCGGTGACGGGCGTGATCATGTGGTTGATGCGGAATGGCCCACAATATCGAGGGTGGAGTTTTGGAGTAATGGGCAGGCGGAGGTTTTAGGTGTCGAGTAACACAAGGTCGTTGGGCTGGTAAGTGACGGGGCGACGGTGGCGGTCAGCGTTGCGCTTAGCAATGATGTTGGATTTTTAAATAGAGTCTGCTGCTCGGGTCCGTGCGGCCTGTAAAATTTCTGCAACTGTTGTGCGCAAGGTACTGGGTTGGCTGGATTTGGGGTCATGGGTACTGCTGGGTTCTATCCGTAGTTAAGGGAAAATGGTGACTGCTGCGTCGTGGCTGACGTGGAATTGTTGTAGGCGAACTCGATGAGTGGCAGTTGTTGTTCCCATGTTGCCGGGTCGTCGCACGTGGCCCGGATTAGGTGCTCCATGATTTGGTTTGTCCGTTCTGTCTGTCCGTCGGTTTCGGGGTGGTATGATGAGCTGAACTGCAGTCGCGTGCAGAACACTGCCACATGTTCCTCCAGGAGTTGCTAGTGAATTTCGTGTCACGTTCGCTGATGATTGCTGCTGGTATCCCGTGTAGTCGAACGATGGTGGAGATGAAAAGTCGAGTTGTTTCTTCGGCTGTGATTGATTTTTAGCAGGCTGCGAAATGTGCCCACTTGCTCTGGCCGGTAACCCCGTGACGAAGTCCATCGTCACCTGCTACCAAGCACGCTCTGGGGGTGGTATTGGCTGCAACTGTCCTGCCGGTCGCTGTCGTGACGACTTCATGAACTGGCAGGTGGGACACGATGCCGTTGGTGCAACCCCATGGTTTGCACTCGGCTTGTTCTCCGTGTGCGTACATACGTGTGTGCATGGAATGGTTTGAGGGCATGAGATAATATATATTTCATGCTTATAATAGTGTGTGAATTATGAGTCATGATGTCGAATGCGTGTGTCAAGTCAATAACGAGTTATCGCTATTCGCGTGTCACGTCGTTGTTTGTGTGTCGTGTGCGTTTTCTATATTGTCGTGTGTCGAACGTTCGGCGTGTCGCAGGTGTGAGCAGACATTCAAGAACTCAAGGATGAGTTTATAGTGAAGGACCAGAGCCTTGGTTTCAAGATCCACGTGATTTCGAAGCTCGCCAAAAGGGTGAACTTCAAGATAGTAAAAATAGTTACATTACAATGCGTAGTGTAACATTCCTTTTGGTGTAGGCCCTTGTCGAGGGTAGTTTCGAGCCCCTTCGTGGTTGGGGACAGTGTGACACTCTTCCACATCGCTGTACCTCGGCTCTTGGGGTTTGTAGAGGCTGGGAGTCATTCCCAACTCGTAACTCTTCCGAATTTGTGTTCAAAGACTATAGTGGCTGCCATAGTGCGGCTCGTTCAAACTGACGTTGCATCGTCAATACTTGATGAAATCGTGAGATGTAAACTGCCTATTGTAGCCGAAATCAAGACGCTACAGATCCTATTTAAAGCATATCATTCAAAGTTGTGACCTGAACGCTATGAACGTTTAATCTGCTGCCACCCCGTCGCCCGTGGTTTTTCCCCTCCCGTCGCCCGTCGCCCGTCGTTTTTCCTAGCCCGTCGCCCGTCGGTTTTTCCTAGCCCGTCGCCCGTCCGTTTCCCGTCGCGCGCCCCACCCGTCGCCTGTTGAACGACCGTAGGACGCGGGCCCCGCGGCCCCTTTTTCGTTAGCCGGCCCCGCGGCCTGACGTTAGCGAGCCACGCGGCCACGCACCCCCCCCCCCCCCCCCCCCCCCCCCCCCCCCCCCCCCTTTTTCGTTAGACGGCCCCGTGGCCTGCGCTAGCTGGCCCCGTGGCTCCCCACACGTTCTTCCCCCCCCTCATTTCCGCCCGTTCACTGTCTACCGCGGCTCCCTACCGCCTCTCTCTAGCTCAGCAAACCCTAACAGCCACCACAACCACTATCCTCCCCTTTCTCTTTCCTGATCCCCCGTCGTTCGCTAGGGACCTGATCCTACACTTGCGTTCCCTTGATGCTCAGTTCCGTGCTGCGTTTGTTGACCCTGCCTTGCTCGCCAAGAACCCCCCCCCCCCAATGTACATGACCCTGTACCTCCTAGCCTCCCACCTCCCTGACCGATTCAAAACCGTTCGTGATCACTTTCTCACCGTTGATCCACCGACCCTCACCATTGACCTCTTTGAGGAGAAGCTCCTCGCAGTAGAGGGTCCTGCTCGGTCCCTTGCTGCCACTACTGGTGCTGTCCTCCCCCCTATCTTTGAGGGGTGTGCCCAGTCCTTCCTTGCCTCCTCTGTGGCCTCTGCCTCTGTTGCTACTGCAACAGAGGTGGCAGCCGTTGCCTCTGGCAACAAGGGGGGCAAGAAGGGCGGCAAGAAAGGAGGAGGTGGTGGTGGCGGTGGGAGTGGCGGTGGGAGTGGCGGAGGGGGTCGTGGTGGAGGAGGTGGAGGGAGTGGAGGAGGTGGCGGTTCTGGTGGTAGTGGAGGTGGGGGTCCTGGCTCGGGGAGTGTGGAGCCCCAGCACCAGCTACAGCAGCAGCAGCAGCCACAGCAGCAGTCACAGCAGCAGCAGCCCCAGCAGCAGCAGCCACGGCAGCAGCTGCTCCAGGGCCAGCAGCAGCAGGTTCAGCAGTGGCCCCCGCAGCAGCAGT